TTGTAACATTTTCAGCAGGACAAGAAAAGATCAGTGTAAATATAACCTCCGTGTCCTATTTTCGTTTATATGCATTCAGTTGAATTTTGAATTTTGCTTGGCTAAGGTTATGAATGTTAAGTTGTTGTTAATAGGTCTGCTATTTTCTATTTTAGTGCCATTCTCAGGAACCTATCAAAGAAATAAAGAAACGTCTCAGATCATTGGAGAATTTATGATATTCGGAGTGGCTCTGGTATACCTTTTAATCGTATGTTGCAATCAGTAAGGACGTTTAGATATCTAAAAAACCTGTTATCTTAGTGGAGGATTTTGGTACAAGGCTTGAAGTGCCGAAAGAGTTTCGTGCGGCCCGCGAAGCATTCAGGCGATTCAGTTTGGTTTAGCGTAAATTCATAAACCTTTAGAGACTGTAGAAAGAGAACGGGATCGACAGTATCATTCATATTACTGGCAACGCTATTTCCAATACATCTATTTTTGCTGTATTATAGATACCTTTAACAATGGTTCAAAATAACCAGTGTCTTATTCTAGTTAGTCTTATCATAGAAAGACTGTCTTATCGGCAAACGAATACGGTTTAATGAAGAAGGGGTAACCTTACTTTAGGGAAAAGAAATGTTTTAACTTCAGCTCAACGATTAAAACAAACAAGATGTTGAAAAAATTCCTACGTTTTAAAAATCGGTTAATCGTGACAAGATGGATACTTTTATAGTTTTTGTATTCTAAGGCTTACGAAATACGGATCTTTTGTACAAAGCCCCCACCACTAATGTAAAAATGTGAAATTTGAGAAAACATCACGTTCTGAAATAGCAAATTACTAAGTATCCAGTTCTCCATTTATGGGGAGCATTATTAACTAGAATTTTGCGTATTAACCCGACACCAAATCATAAAATGTCATAAAAGAAGGTTCGATAGAACCTAGGTTGAAATTACCAAAACAACATGGAAAACCGGAAAGAGATCGAAAATTTCCCTACAACTGTCGCCGCAAATAGGCAGGCCACATGTTATGTTGTCGAGTAATAATTTTGCAGTTGCGCAAAGTATTCCAGTGAGGACCAATACAGGTCTACTTATAATTCTTGCTTTATTAATGTAATTGTGTGTTTAATGCAACCTGCGATTACGTCAACAAATTCAGAACATTACTATGAAATATCACAATCCACGGGCATGAATAGTGCTTCAAACTGCCAGATTATAAATTTAGTTTTAATTTGTATTTTTGCATTGTTACGGATTATTAATACGAATTTGATCTGTTCTTGCATCACTGACTCCACTTTATCACAATGTTATCACCCAAGATTCTTTTCAAGATAGCAATGTCACAGAAATCCCTAGATCTGCATAAAATATCTAAGACTACAATTTATTTCATTCAGTGCAATAAAAATGATTGTGCAGTGATACCCCGGTAGTCGACCAAAAATCCGTGTTAAAAAGGCTGTGGTATTCGAACGGGAAATAGTATGACTAAAAAGTTGTGCTCACTCGGCGGTGACTGAAATAATGTCCCGTGACAGCATATAGATTCGTCAACCCTGTTCTAAACGTTGATGCTATTTGTCATTCTTTCTATCGGTTTCATTATGCGCTAAGATAATTATGAAATACTATTCTAGATAACGATACCCAATATTTAAAGCAACGAGTATACAAATGAACAAATGATACTTGGATACAGATTTCCAAATTTTCTATCAAATTAAGTTATATGAAAATTAAAAAAATTACTGGTGCCGACTAACCATTAAAGTGGTTAAATAGTTTAAGACAGACACAGTGGGAACTTGATTTAAATAAAAGTTACTTAATTTAAAACCTAAAGTATATCATTCAAGTAAGAACTTACCAAAACGTTTTTTTTTTGTGAGAACACAACACGTATACGTTTCGAAATAGACTAATATGTTCTTGAAACACACGGGAAATATTTAACCATCTTCTATGACCAATGTTTCGGAAGGTGACATCGATTAAACATGCAACTCCACTTTTATTATAGATGCTGGTATAATGCAGACTACAACACATACGTCATAGTCGATAATTACTTGAAGATAAAGGCAAATATGATATATAAAGATATCAGACAAATTGTGAGTTATTTTAGTCCAACGCAAAATTAATCCGGCCGCGACGCTTCACTGAATTATAGTAACAAAACGGCTGTTTAGTTTAGACGACTATATTCTTTACGTAACAGAATTTATGGTGATACACGTGTAGACTAAATTATATTATAATCTGAAAAGGATAAAATTCACAATTTCTTGTTTAATGAACTAATAATTTACTTATAATTAGACAAATGGCAACAAAACGCAGAAAATTTATTGCTAAGTGCAAAGGGTTCAATGGCGCCGAAAATATTCAAATGACATTTTTTGAGATTGAAGGCAATGAGGAAATAAATCTGTATTCTATTCGAGAGATGTATCACTGCTTAATTTTTAATATAAGAAATATCATCCGTTCGATTTTCGACTTTCTAAAAATATGTGCGGCCCGCCAATGACTTAGAACCCTTAATTTAGGCCCGCGAGCGACTAAAGGTTGCCGACCCCTGCTGTCCACTCCACAGCGTGGAAAGTTGTCAATAAATTCTCTTTTTTAGTTGGAGGAAAAACTCAAAACGGCGATGCCAGAATTGCAGAATAAACCATACTACGAAGACGCTATCAAAAATATCAAAGAACACGAAGACAATTACAATGATGATAATTATATTGCAGTCAACATTGATGATTGGGTGCCTGTTAGCAGTGCCAAGGTTGTGAAGCCGGAGCCGCGGCCTGGAACCACGGAGCCGGGACCTGGAACCACGAAGTCGGGGCCTGCAACCACGAAATCGGGGCCTGGAACCACGGAGCCGGGACCTGGAACCACGGAATCGGGGCCTGGAACCACGGAGCCGGGACCTGGAACCACGAAGTCGGGGCCTGCAACCACGGAATCGGGGCCTGGAACCACGGAGCCGGGACCTGGAACCACGGAATCGGGGCCTGGAACCACGGAGCCGGGACCTGGAACCACGGAATCGGGGCCTGGAACCACCGAGCCGTGACATTTTGATGCAGCTGCAGTCGGAGCTGGAGCCAAGCTTGAGCCGGCGCTAGATCTAGCAGAAATTTTCCAAACCATCTCCAAACCATCTCACTTTTTCACATTTCTAATTTTTAGATACCTTATACAAAATATGAAAATCCATTTTTTCAGCTTAATATTAAATTTATAAATTTAAGTTTTTAATTTAAATTTGAAAGTTCGAAGTTATATTTACAATTTTGGATTCCTATTTCCGCTAAGCCGCTAGTTCAAAAACCCTAATGGCTAGGGCGTAGCCAGATTTTTCAAATAGGGTGATTTTAAAATCTGAGATTCCCTCGTCACGCTAATAACCGAATTGCGTAAGTCATTTTTAGCGATTTTGAGTTTTTTTATAAGATAGGTATTTATATAATGCTGCGCACCTATCTGTTAACTCAGATTTTATTTCAAGAATTCCGAAACCCATAAAAATGGAGATTTAGTATGACATGCACATTTGTGCAATTGTTTCCTCATAATCAATTGTCATTGTTACCGCAGGACTATTCTGACGTCACAAAAGGAAAATAACCCCTGCGAAGTATTTTCGAGTTTTTGCATCTCGGATTCTAGCTTAGCGCGTATTAATTTGAATTTATACTACAGTATCGGAAGGCGTGCACTTGTGATATTCACTGTCCGAGTCCAATTCACCTTGGGTGGCTTTTATATTGGGTGCATTGCTGTTTTATTCTTTATATTTAATCTTAGTCTTATTTCGGTGGGTGTGCAGAACGTGTTATATTATTGAAATATATATAATTTTAAACATAAAAAATAATGCAATAGAAACTGATTAGCTATTTTTGGGATTAGACATTGTAGATACTAAAAATTACATTGGTTTTTGGAATCTTTAGTTTTCAGGACTGGTGCATATAGTAAAGTTGCAAAATTGCATATGTCCCCAAGTCATAGACACATTTCTGTCTAAGTCACAGTGCGTCATAATGACGTCACTTAACTGCGTCATACAAATTAACTTAAATCCGGCTACGATCAAAAAATTGAAACAAGGCAAATTATTGCCTCTCAATGACATAACAATATCATTAGGAAGTTTTTTACGTTTTTCTCAAAACTGCTAAAAATGACTTACGCAATTCGGTTATTAGCGTGACGATATTGTGATTTTTCTGTCGCGTAAAATATCTAAGCCATGACAACTATTAGAATTTAAAAGGTCTTTAATCATGCTCAACGTGTCTCATGGTTGCACGTTCAACGACAAAATACAAGCATAACTACCAAGGCAGTTTGTGGACATAAAAATATGAAAAAAAAATGCCCCATAATATTCAATTTTGATTCGTATTTTTGCGATCTTGCATATTTGCCATCTCCATTAAAAAATCCCATAACTGCTATTTAGTAGTAGTCGTGACTATGTCACTCCTTGAGAAGTCCTATTGTTTATTAAATAACGAGCTTTTTCGATGCGCAAAGTAATCGTGCCATAATCAATACTGAAATATTTAAAATGTTTTGCTTTATTAATTAGATTGTATTCAATTTAACCTGCGGTATCGTGACAAAATAAAATCCCAGGTCGTAACTAATATAAAATACCATGGTAATCTGTAGACGTAAACATGTGTGGTAAAGTGCCAGATTATATCTTGTTTTGATTTGCTTTTTTGCGAATTGGATCAACCTCAGCTGTTCTCGCAACACCGATTCCGCTCAATCTCATTGCTGCCTGTTAGTTTTAGGATACCACCGTTATAAACATTCCTGTTAGTTTTATATGATATCACCGTTATAAAAAGATGGATAAATATGGACACATTGGCCGTACTAAAAATAGATATTTGAACTAGCGATTGTATTCATCCAATTTAGATAATATTATACCTAATTCGTTGTATCATATACTAATTTTGTTCTCTCTATGAAATTCATATACTAAATTTTATTTAAATAATGAGCTGAAATATATACCAGATATAAATAAATGAGTTGTCTTCTATAATATTATTACATGGTGATAAGTATTGCCACAAACAAGTCAATTTTCCGCGGTAACTGGAATTGTTTTTTGATAGCCTATCAAATAAAGTGAAAGGAAAAGAATCGGATGACGTCCATGATGCTAGAGAAAAGAAATGCTAAATCCCAATTCATTTGTATGTTGAATGTAATACATATTGGAATCACTTTGGTATAATCACATTTGACCTTGCTGCGTTATACACATCAAGTTCGGCGTCCATTGAACTCTTGGTTTTAGACATATAGCTTTCTATCTGCGCATCCAGTGATGTTTTGTTAACTTTTTTTTGTCGATTTCTTTGAGTATCCCTCTTCAATCCACCACGACCTTTTCCTCTGTTGTTATTTTTCTTATTTTTAAACGCATTTCGAACGAAACCTCTTCTTGTTTTACTTTTTGTTGTGCTAACCAAACCGTTTCCATTGGTCTGTAACGTTGCTCCTCCATGTCCTAAGCGTGATAATACAGCGGATCTTGCTCCTCTTGAAATTCCACGTCCCCTGGTCTTCCCACGTGGCGCTCCTAACCTATCTTTTATTGATATTTTATTCCAGTTTTGTGTGACTCGATTCTTCTCTAATTGTAGCTGGTGTGCTAATCGCCCGTTACTTTTGCGTACTGTACCGTGAATCGCGATTCTAGCCTCTATTACGGTCGGAGGTCGGCTATGCATTAGCTTGGTAAATCTCTCATTAAGGCTTACTTTAGTTGCGGCCCTCAAAAGTATTTTGGTAGGTTTTGCTTCAGCCATCTCTCTAATTCGGTTGTCTATGACTATGTGATGACTCCAGATTAGCGAGCTCCTATTTATGTCTCCGGAAGTATGAAAAACAAATATTAGTTTTCGACCCCTTTGAAAGATGCCGCTTTAATATCTTATCTTTGCGCAAATATTATCACTCCTTTTCACAGACGCTGCGATGTAGTCTATCTGCTGAATCGCACAATAATCAGTCATTCGCTGTATCATGTGATTATAGACGTGCATCCAAACATTTAGGACCTTGATATAGACGTGAAACATAAATTAGATAACGCCATAAAGTATTCAATCACCGCGGCAAAGTTCCTATATTTTTCAAACTTTGCATTGTAATGAGACATAAGTACAGATACTATAATATAGCTGGCCTGGCTTCATTTTTTGGTTTAATCTCCTTGTCATTTTGTGGGTTGATGAAAAATGCAAACAATACCTAAATTTTACTACTTATCCATACTATGTTTTCTGAAGAAATGAACGCTCTATGATGAGTACCTTAAAAGCAAATCAAAAAAGTGTATACTTACTTTTGAGACAGCCTGTATTTTGGGAATTTTTTGTTTCTAAATAAATCGATTTAGAGTGTTGTTTCATTTTAGCATCGCTATTTCATCAGCTATAGTTGAAATATGAAAAAATCTGATGTTAGGTCAAATGGCACAATATTTTAAACGCTCATTTCCTTATTCCTAATGGTTTATTGACGTCAATTTTGTAGCAGTATTCAAATCATTTTGCTGAAATTTTTGTCACGGTATGGAGGCATGGCCTATGATGCCCATAATGGCTACGCGCTATTAAATCGAGCACCGGCCACAAATTTAGGATATAAAAATATTAACGATTACTGCTGCATTATACGAGGCAGTTTTCCATTAACGCCAAAGTTATGGCCACTCAGTGCAGATTGTATAGATATAACGTAGTTGTTGGTAGCATATAGTTCCGCTTATTTGTCATCAATAGTGTTCCTGAAGCGCAGGTTCTAGAACAAAGGCAATGTTAATCAGGTTGTGTGACGTAATACTGTGTGGCATCGAGTGACGATCTAATAAATAGACCTTAGTCATTTAAAACACATCCTACGCGCAAAAATAAAAGTGATATAAAAATTTTCTTTTTAACATTAGCTCTTATGGGAAATGTGATTACCAGAGCAGAGATTTGCAGTTTTTGGGATTTTCTATATATGATTCATCGTATACGTGTGCAGTTTTGAGTATAGAATATTTTTTACATTATTTTTGATATTTTTATAATGATAAACATGGTCAAGATATTTGATAATCGTTCATTAAAATTTTAATGATCGCGGTGTTTCCGATGACGTCATTCTCACTAGACCACGATATGCTGCCAACGCGCCGTGCTCTGTGGAAACTGCTTGTGATAACAGAATACTGTAATACCGGTACCGCAACTGGCGTTCAACGAAAGACCTATTTTAGTTTTTATTGGATGTTATATATTTCATGAATTCCATGCAACTATGTACATTTCTGGTACACCTTTCAAAATCCAATGGCCTAACTCAGTTCATATGTTGAGTCTTGTTGACACCATGTACCTATCCCAAAATTGGTGATGTTCAGGGCTGGATTTAGACCATAAGAGGCCCCTTCATATTTTTGAGCTCAGAATTTCTCTCTAAACAAAACCACATGTCATTGCTTAAAAATGGTGACCGTACATTTGAACCCACGTACATTTGAACCCATGTGTATATCCGCGGGTTCAATCTATATGCGGGTGCTAAAACCCATGGGTTAGGGTTAGTATGGGTTCAACTATCAGTAAAACAAAAAAATTTCCATAGGTGCAATAGTATGCAGGTACAATTGTCATGGGTTCAAATGTACGTGGGTTCAAATGTAATGGAACCCTTAAAAATATGAGTGCAATAAATTTTTCATTCTCCCCATTCATGGGTGTGAATTTTTAATTAAAGGAATAAAAATTTACTTGAGGCAGTTTTGCTTTCAATTTCTTTGATCAAACAACCGCTACAGCCATACTTCAACATAGAAACTCCCAGCAGAATGCGCATAATAATAATTTCCCTTATTATGATGCTGTGGTTGAAACCAGTTGTGTACAGAATTTTCTACTCTGAAAACCTTGATATATATATATATATATTAGGGTTGCCAATTATGAGAAGTCTCTAAATAGCTAAATTTTACTACTTATACATACTATGTTTTCTGAAGAAATGAACGCTCTATGATGAGTACCTGAAAAGCAAATCAAAATTAAAAGTGTATAATTACTTTTGAGACACCCTGTATTATGAGTTAGAGTGCTGTTTCATTCTAGCATTGCTATTTCATCTGCAATAGTTGAAGTATGAAAATGTCTGATGTTAGGTCAAATGGCAAAATTTTCTAAACGCCTATTTCCTTATTCCTAATAGTTTATTGACGTAAATTTTGTAGCGGTGTTCAAATCATTTTTTCTGAAAATTTTACGTACACGTCCTATTGTTATTCATATATATATTTATTTGAATTTCACATTTTGCTTGGCATTGGTTAGGGATATTAAGTTATTAATATGTCTGCTGTTTCTATCCCAGTGCCATTCTCAGACAAATATCAAAGAAATAAAGAAACGTCTCAGATCATTGGAGAATTCATGATATTCGGAGTTGCCCTGGTATACCTTTTAATCGTATGTTGCAACCGGTAAGAATATTTCGATATCTAAAAAACTAGTTTGCTTATTGGTGTGGTGCTTAAAATTGCCCCGCTGATTGTCAAATCGGTGAAAATGTAACCGCTGATCGTTTGTGCTCTCTCACATAGTCATCTCCATGTTGTTCTAACCGATGATGCTATTTGTCTTTTACTCCTTCTATCGGTTCCATTATGCGCTAAAATGAGTATGAAATACTATTCTAGATATATATACTTAATAATAAAAGCAACGCAGTGTATACAAGTGAAGTGGAAAAATTGTTTTTACCAGTGAAATGAAATCCAATATCTCTGAATTTCATAATTGAATGAATGGTTATTGGAGACAAATTTTAAATTGCTAGCTAATAATCAAATTGTTCGAATAGCATAATACAGTCACAGTGGGCACTTGATCTATTCTAAACGGTAAATATTTGATTAATTTAAAACCTAAACGTATATTATTCAAGTAAGATCTTTTGAAAACGTTTGTTTTATGAAAACATATCATGTATAAAGTCGTTTTCAAATAGACTAATATTTTTCTGAAAACACCGGGAATGAAACCATTTTTTAGAACCATAAATGTGGATGGTAGGGGAGGCGCTAGTTAGTTTGCATCAGCGATTAAATCTGTAACTCCGATCTTATGTTAGATGCTGGTATAAGGCAGACTACAACACATACGTCATAGTCGATAATTACTTGAAGATAAAAGAAGATATGATAAGTAAAGATGTCAGAAAAATTGTGAGTTATCTTAGTTTAATGCAAAAAATAATGTTTTACCAAATTTTGTTAAAATTTTTCTCGAAAAGTAACTAGCAGATCGAAACCGTTAGAGCGTAATGAAAACCCATGTAAATATAACTCAACTGTACATTTCAACGGGTTTATAAATTTTCTTTAGCTTTCATACCGTATGCTTTGTTGAAAAACCGTATGTTACATTCCTCAGTTTGCTTATATCAGTCATTAAATATTTTATTGCCTGAAAATCATTTGAAAATTCAGCGATCTGAATGGATAAAAGATGAATGGTTATATGGGAGGCGTATTTCATTCATTTATTCGTATTTATATTCAAATTTTTTTGCTCATTTCTGAATGTCGTCTAAAATTGAATCTATTTTGAACAATCTATTCTATATATGAGTAATGTTAATAGGGTGTCACGAATGGTAGGTATATCCCTGTTAGTGCAGTCTTGGCAGTTTGTATCCCTCTACATTCTACAGTATGGGAAGTTGTCAAAAAATTCGCTTTTTTAGTTGGAAGAAAAACTCAAAACGGCGATGCCAGAATTGCAGAATAAACGATACTACAAAGACGCTATCAAAAATATCAAAGAACACGAAGACAATTACAATGATGATAATCATATTGCAGTTAATATTGCAGAGTGGGAGACTGTTAGCACTGTAACATAGAAGTGATAGTTCGATAACAGCACACAGGCCGTATTAAAATAAAATAAAATATAAATTTGAACTAACGTTTGTATTCATTACATTTATATTATATTAAACTAAAACTTGATGTAGTATACACTAATTTTTCCGTTTTATGATGTTTATGATATATATCTAAATGATTTTAAAAAATTGGCTAGAATAGATATCAGATAAAACTAAATGACTTGCATTCTAATATTTTTACATGGTGATAAGTATTGACACAAATAAGTCGATACATGTAGAGGGGGGGACTGGAAAAGTTTATGTGGTGGTGTATTAAGTAGAGGAAAAGAAAATAAATTTAATAAATCAGATTTCATTTGTATGTTGAATGTAATACGAATTGGAATCACTTTGGTATGAGCACATCAAGTTCGGCGTCCATTGAGCTTTTGGTTTTAGACATATAACTGTCTATCTGCGCATCCAGTGATGTTTTGTCAACTGGTTTTTGTCGATTTCGTTGAGTAACTCTTTTCAATCAACCGCGGCCCTTTCCTCTGTTGTTATTTCGCTTACTTTGAAACACATTTCGGACGAAACCTCTTCTTGTTTTACTTTTTGTTGTGCCAACCAAATTGTTTCTATATTGGCGCGTTGAGTTGGTCTGTAACGTTGCTCCTCTATGTCCCAAGCGTGATAACACAGCGGATCTTGCTCCTCTTGAAATTCCACGCCCTCTGGTCTTGTGCTGTGAGTCGGGATTCTAGCCTCTATTACGATTGGAGGTCGGCTATGCATTAGCTTGGTAAATCTCTCATCAAGGCTTACTTTAGTTGTGGCCTTAAAAGTATTGGTAGGTTTTGCTCCAGTCATCTCTCTAATTCAGTTGGCTATGACTATGTGACTAATGTGAGGACTCCGTTTTAGCGAGCTCCTATTTATGTATCCGGAAGTATGCAAACAAATATTAGTTCTCGACCCTTTCGAAAGATGCCGATTTAATATCTTATCTTTGCGCCAATAATATGACTTGTTTTCACAGACGTTGCGATGCAGCATATCTGCTGTATCGCACAATATTCAGTCGTTAATTCGATGTGACATGTTATTATAAACGTGTATCAAAAAATTCAAGACCTTGATATAGACGTGAAACATAAATTAGATAACGTCATGAAGAATTCAATCACCGCCGCAAATTTCTTATATTTTTCAAACTCTGTGTTGTAATGAGACATAAATACAGATACTATAATATAGCTGGTCTATGCATAGCTGGCCTGGCCTCATTTTAGGTTTAATCTCCTTACCATTTTGTGGGTTGATGAAAAATGCAAACAATACCTAAATTTTACTACTTATCCATACTATGTTTTCTGAAGAAATGAACGCTCTATGATGAGTACCTGAAAGCAAATCATAATTAAAAGTGTATACTTACTTTAAGACACCATGTATTTTGAGAATTTTGTGTTTTCAAAGAAATCTGGTTAGAGTGCTGTTTCATTTTAGCATTGCTATTTCATCTGCAATAGTTGAAGTATGAAAAAGTCCGATATTAGGTCAAATGGCAAAATATTTTAAACGCTCATTTCCTTATTCCTAATGGTTTATTGACGTAAATTTTGTAGCGGTGTTCAAATCATTTTTTCTGAAAATTTTTGTTACGATATGGAGGCATGGCCCATGATGCTCATAATAGCTACTCGCTAATAAATCGAGCACCGGCCACAAATTCAGGATATAAAAATATAAACGATTAGCCTACTGCTGCATTATACGATGCAGTCTTTTCCATTAACGCCAAAATTATGGCCACTCAGTGCAGATTGTATAGATATAACGTAGTTGTTGGTAGCATATAGTTCCGCTTATTTGTCATCCATAGTGCCCCGGAAGCGCAGGTTCTAGAACAAAGGCAATGTAATCAGGTTGTGTGACGTAATACTGTGTATCATCGAGTGACGACTAATAAATCAGTGCAGTCCAGGGGTTTCGCAGGTTTTTATTCAAATCCGATAGTCTATATCAGGGTGGTCTAAGGTTGTCGGCTTTGCGGGCCACACTAATATTTTTTTGTGTTGTACGCGGGCCACAATAGTGCCAAGAATAGGTAAACAGTGCAATGCAAAACAACCACTTTTATTGTCCAAACACATTGCTCAATATTTATCATTTATCAAGATAAAACATACAAAAACTCATTAGCACGTACAAAAATCTCACTATAACTACATTTAGTGTAAGATTTTAAACTAATAACGGAGAAAGTTCCCGGAGGAGAAAATGCCATTTTAGATTGTCTGTTTTAATTAACCAGCTTTCTTTTTGAACTCATGTTTACAAAATAACTTACAAATAACTGCAGATATATTGGTTAGTTACCAATTATGAGATACATGAGAGTAATTACTAAATTTTCTGACATATAGGCAGCATTTTTTGTAATACTGTTTAGGCTGGTTGCAAAAAAAACACCCGGAAGGAATTATATTGTTCGGCCATTACCTTAATATTCAGTTATCAGGCATAACCAACCTAGGCTAATATATTCCTCATTCGATTTTAGTTTTCTATGAAGCCTATTTTGTTAGCATATATTCCGACAAAAAATATAGACAGCCAGTTAATTAACAATGTAGACTAGCCTCAGCTAGCCATACCACCAGTCAATTTATTGACATTAGTGATGTAACAATTTGTAAAAAGATTTTTCTGGTTATTTTTATGACGAAATAGCACCAAATACGATTTTTTGTTTACCCTCGCGCAAATGCGACGCGGGCCACAGATAATGAAGCGGCGGTGCCACATGTGACCCACGGGCCTGGTTTGGACCATCCTGGTCTATATTATTATGTGAATGTTTTTAAATATAATCACATTGGGTTTATCACTATTATTAAACTTGTTATATTTAAAGATTAACTTTTTTTTAAGTATTAGGCTTGATTTTATATGTATTCATAGTTTATATAATTCTTCTTACATACAGCCCTACAAGTGTTACACTTGGGTTCCTCGCACCTCTGGAATGTTCCATTGGGATTCGCGTCACTGACAATGTTGAAAAACACTGCTTTATTAGATCGATGTAAACAATAAATATAAGTACTTTTACATCGGGCTGTTTTAAGAGATGAAATAATATAAGAATGATTGTAACTTTTTCGCGGGGTATATTTTGTCTGTGTTTCTGTCAACCTGCATGTCGTCGTCAAATCGTAATTATTACACCTTTTGATTATGCAGTTATAAAGTTTGGAATAAGCATCATTTGTTGCATATTTTCTGAGATTATTGATATTCATATTGCACACTATCCAATTACAATTATGTCCGCTCAACTCTCGGGACTTCCACATGCCATGCTCAAACAATATCTGAATGGAGCAAGGAAAACCACATTATCTCCAATTCTGAAAGCTACTGCTTTTATTGGGAAGCCCTGATTGAAAAAATATTCGGTGTCCTTGCAGAACCAATTCGCAGACATGCTGTGAGTAGCCAATTATTACTTCAGAAATTTCCAACTTCTTAAATAGTTTAAAAACATTTAAAAAAAGTTCCCTATTTTTAATGTTTGCAGTAGATTGGAACTTCTTCTATAGCTTGCTGTTCTTTCCCATCCCTGCGTTCTCGTTGTATCTGCTAAGCCTTGCTCAAGACAATGGCGTCTGGAATCTATTTATGGGTAATAAATACATATCTATTGTATTAGCCATTTATTTATTTCCATCTACATGGTATATACGTCAAACATTTTGCTTTAAAAATGTTAAAAAGCATCATTACCTCTTACCGGTCATTCGTAAAGCGGATTTTGCGTCTTGCACGGCTTAAAAAACAGTCATGGTTAGCATTAAATGCGGATATAACGATTTACTGTTTTACAGCTAGAGAAATTTTTCCTCTTACTCTTTTAATTTGAAGGAATATGCAAAAGGAAAAACAAAAAGGAAAATTGCCAGTCGTATTCTGGTGTTGTTGCTATTGTGCACTTAAAAACGTCCCACATGCTAAAGGAAATAAATGGTTTCAAGCCAATGCTCAAGTAAGAAAAATTGAGTTTTAGATAAACGTTAGAAGTCGACTACATGCTTCATTCCAAAGTATAAGAAATCTACGCCTGGTAGGTTATGAGTTCGTGTAAGAATTTTAGTGTGTGACTAAATATTAAATGCGGTTTTCCAGCAATATTACAGAATACGTTTTTTAAACTTTATAACATGGAATATTTCATAGAAAAGCTTGAATTTTCAGGCTGTCGCAGTGATAATTGTTTGGTTTGCACTCTCTTTGTTTGATGGAGATTATGGCGCATGTGCTGTCACCTGCATTCCTTACACGCAGAATTGTACCATTTTCAGCAGGACAAGAAAAGATCAGTGTAAGTGTAACCTCCGTGTCCTATTTTCGTTTATATGCATTCAGTTGAATTTTGAATTTTGCTTGGCTATGGTTATGAATGTTAAGTTGTTGTTAATAGGTCTGCTATTTTCTATTTTAGTGTCATTCTCAGGAACCTATTAAAGAAATAAAGAAACGTCTCAGATCATTGGAGAATTTATGATATTCGGAGTGGCTCTGGTATACCTTTTAATCGTATGTTGCAATCGGTAAGGACGTTTAGATATCTAAAAAACCTGTTATCTTAGTGGAGGATTTTGGTACAAGGCTTGAAGTGCCGAAAGAGTTTCGTGCGGCCCGCGAAGCATTCAGGCGATTCAGTTTGGTTTAGCGTAAATTCATAAACCTTTAGAGGCTGTAGAAAGAGAACGGGATCGACAGTATCATTCATATTACTGGCAACGCTATTTCCAATACATCTATTTTTGCTGTATTATAGATACCTTTAACAATGGTTCAAAATAACCAGTGTCTTAGTCTAGTTAGTCTTATCCTAGAAAGACTGTCTTATCGGCAAACGAATACGGTTTAATGAAGAAGGGGTAACCTTACTTTAGGGAAAAGAAATGTTTTTGCGCACGATACACGGGATATTTGAATATAATAAAAAGTTTATAACTTCAGCTCAACGATTAAAACAAACAAGATCTTGAAAAAATGACTACGTTTTAAAAATCGGTTAATCGTGAAAAGATGGATACTTTTATAGTTTTTGTATTCTAAGGATTACGAAATACGGATCTTTTGTACAAAGCCCCCACCACTAATGCAAAAATGTGAAATTTGAGAAAACATCACGTTCTGAAATAGCAAATTACTAAGTATCCAGTTCTCCATTTATGGGGAGCATTATGAACTAGAATTTTGCGTATTAACCCGACACCAAATCATAAAATGTCATAAAGGAAGGTTCGATAAAACCTAGGTTGAAATTACCAAAACAACATGGGAAACCGGAAAGAGATCGAAAATTTCCATACAACGCAAAGTATTCCAATGAGGACCAATACGGGTCTACTTATAATTCTTACTATATTAATTTAATTGTGTGTTTATTGCAATCTGCGATTGCGTCAACAAATTCAGAACATTACTATGAAATATCACAATCCACGGGCATGAATAGTGCTTCAAACTGCTAGATTATATTTAGTTTTGATTTGTATTTTTGCATTGTTACGAATTATTAATACAAATTTGATCTGTTCTTGCATCACTGACTCCACTTTATCACAATGTTATCACCCAAAATTATTTTCAATATAACAACGTCAGAGAAATTCCTAGATCTGCATAAAATATCTAAGACTACAATTTATTTCATTCAGTGCAATAAAAATGATTGGGCAGTGATACCCCGGTAGTCGACCAAAAAATCCGTGTTAAAAAGGCTGCGGGATTCGAACGGGAAATAGTATGACTAAAGAGTTGTGCTCACTCGGCGGTGACTGAAATAATGTCCCGTGACAGCATATAGGTTCGTCAACCCTGTTCTAAACGTTGATGCTATTTGTCATTCTTTCTATCGGTTTCATTATGCGCTAAGATGATTATGAAATACTATTCTAGATAACGATACCCAATATTTAATGCAACGAATATACATATGAACAAATGATACTTGGATACAGATTTCCAAATTTTCTATCAAATTAAGTTATATGGAAATTAAAAAAATTACTGGTGCCGACTAACCATTAATGTGGTTAAATAGTTTAAGACAGACACAGTGGGAACTTGATTTAAATAAAAGTTACTTAATTTAAAACCTAAAGTATATCATTCAAGTAAGAACTTACCAAAACGTTTTTTTTTGTGAGAACACCACACGTATTTATTATGAACGTTTCGAAATAGACTAATATGTTCTTGAAACACACGGGAAATATTTAACCATCTTCTATGACCAATGTTTCGGAAGGTGACATCGATTAAACATGCAACTCCACTTTTAATATAGATGCTGGTATAATGCAGACTACAACACATACGTCATAGTCGATAATTACTTGAAGATAAAGGAAAATATGATAAGTAAAGATATCAGACAAATTGTGAGTTATTTTAGTCCAATGCAAAATTAATCCGGCCGCGACGCTCCACTGAATTATAGTAACAAAACGGCTGTTTAGTTTAGACGACTATATTCTTTACGTAACAGAATTTATTGTGATACACGTGTAGACTAAATTATATTATAATCTGAAAAGGATAAAATTCACAATTTCTTGTTTAATGAACTAATAATTTACTTATAATTAGACAAATGGCAACAAAACGCAGGAAATTTATTGCTAAGTGCAAAGGGTTCAATGGCGCCGAAAATATTCAAATGACATTTTTTGAGATTGAAGGCAATGAGGAAATAAATCTGTATTCTATTCGAGAGATTTATCACTGCTTGATTTTTAATATAAGAAATATCATTCGTTCGATTTTCGACTTTCTAAAAATATGTGCGGCCCGCCAATGACTTAGAACCCTTAATTTAGGCCCGCGAGCGACTAAAGGTTGCCGACCCCTGCTGTCCACTCCACAGCGTGGAAAGTTGTCAATAAATTCTCTTTTTTAGTTGGAGGAAAAACTCAAAACGGCGATGCCAGAATTGCAGAATAAACCATACTACGAAGACGCTATCAAAAATATCAAAGAACACGAAGACAATTACAATGATGATAATTATATTGCAGTCAATATTGATGATTGGGTGCCTGTTAGCAGTGCCAAGGTTGTGAAGCCGGAGCCGCGGCCTGCAACCACGGAATCGGGGCCTGGAACCACGGAGCCGGGACCTGGAACCACGGAATCGGGGCCTGGAACCACGGAGCCGGGACCTGGAACCACGAAGTCGGGGCCTGCAACCACGGAATCGGGGCCTGGAACCACGGAGCCGGGACCTGGAACCACGAAGTCGGGGCCTGCAACCACGGAATCGGGGCCTGGAACCACGGAGCCGGGGCCTGGAACCACGGAATCGGGGCCTGGAACCACGGAGCCGGGACCTGGAACCACGAAGTCGGGGCCTGCAACCACGGAATCGGGGCCTGGAACCACGGAGCCGGGACCTGGAAACACGGAATCGGGCCTGGAACCACGGAACCGGGACCTGGAACCACGGAATCGGGGCCTGGAACCACCGAGCCGTGACATTTCGATGCAGCTGCAGTCGGAGCTGGAGCCAAGCTTGAGCCGGCGCTAGATCTAGCAGAAATTTTCCAAACCATCTCCAAACCATCTCACTTTTTCACATTTCTAATTTTTAGATACCTTATACAAAATATGAAAATCCATTTTTTCAGCTTAATATTAAATTTATAAATTTAAGTTTTTAATTTAAATTTGAAAGTTCGAAGTTATATTTACAATTTTGGATTCCTATTTCCGCTAAGCCCCTAGTTCAAAAATCCTAATGGCTTGGGCGTAGCCAGATTTTTCAAATAGGGTGATTTTGAAATCTGAGATTCCCTCGTCACGCTAATAACCGAATTGCGTAAGTCATTTTTGGCAATTTTGAGTTTTTTTTATAAGATAGGTATTTATGTAATGCTGCGCACCTATCTGTTGACTCAGATTTTATTTCAAGAATTCCGAAACCCATAAAAATGGAGATTTAGTATGACATGCACATGTGTGCAATTGTTTCCTCATAATCAATTGTCATTGTTACCGCAGGACTATTCTGACGTCACAAAAGGAAAATAACCCCTGCGAAGTATTTTCGAGTTTTTGCATCTCGGATTCTAGCTTAGCGCGTATTAATTTGAATTTATACTACAGTATCGGAAGGCGTGCACTTGTGATATTCACTGTCCGAGTCCAATTCATCTTAGTCTTATTTCGGTGGGTGTGCAGAACGTGTTATATTATTGAAATATATATATTTTTAAACATAAAAGATAATGTATTAGAAACTGATTAGCTATTTTTGGGATTAGACATTGTAGATACTAAAAATTACATTGGTTTTTGGAATGTTTAGTTTTCAGGACTGGTGCATATAGTAAAGTTGCAAAATTGCATATGTCCCAAGATAGACACATTTCTGCCTAAGTCACAGTGCGTCATAATGACGTCACTTAACTGCGTCATACAAATTAACTTAAATCCGGCTACGATCAAAAAATTGAAACAAGGCAAATTATTGCCTCTCAATGACATAACAATATCATTAGGAAGTTTTTTACGTTTTTCTCAAAACTGCTAAAAATGACTTACGCAATTCGGTTATTAGCGTGACGATATTGTGATTTTTCTGTCGCGTAAAATATCTAAGCCATGACAACTATTAGAATTTAAAAGGTCTTTAATCATGCTCAACGTGTCTCATGGTTGCACGTTCAACGACAAAATACAAGCATAACTACCAAGGCAGTTTGTGGACATAAAAATATGAAAAAAAATGCCCCATAATATTCAATTTGATTCGTATTTTTGCGATCTTGCATATTTGCCATCTCCATTAAAAAATCCCATAACTGCTATTTAGTAGTAGTCGTGACTATGTCACTCCTTGAGAAGTCCTATTGTTTATTAAATAACGAGCTTTTTCGATGCGCAAAGTAATCGTGCCATAATCAATACTGAAATATTTAAAATGTTTTGCTTTATTAATTAGATTGTATTCAATTTAACCTGCGGTATCGTGACAAAATAAAATCCCAGGTCGTAATAATCTAAAATACCATGGTAATCTGTAGACGTAAACATGTGTGGTAAAGTGCCAGATTATATCTTGTTTTGATTTGCTTTTTTGCGAATTGGATCAATCTCAGCTGTTCTCGCAACACCGATTCCGCTCAATCTCATTGCTGCCTGTTAGTTTTAGGATACCACCGTTATAAACATTCCTGTTAGTTTTATATGATATCATCGTTATAAAAAGATGAATAAATATGGACACATTGGCCGTACTAGAAATAGATATTTGAACTAGCGTTTGTATTCATCCAATTTAGATAATATTATACTTAAGTCGTTGTATCATATACTAATTTTGTTCTCTCTATGAAATTTATATACTAAATTTTATTTAAATAATGAGCTGAAATATATACCAGATATAAATAAATGAGTTGTCTTCTATAATATTATTACATGGTGATAAGTATTGCCACAAACAAGTCGATTTTCCGCGTAACTGGAATTGTTTTTTGATAGCCTATCAAATAAAGTGAGAGGAAAAGAATCGGATGGCGTCCATGATGCTAGAGAAAAGAAATGCTAAATCCCAATTCATTTGTATGTTGAATGTAATACATATTGGAATCACTTTGGTATAATCACATTTGACCTTGCTGCGTTATACACATCAAGTTCGGCGTCCAGTGAACTCTTGGTTTTAGACATATAGCTTTCTATCTGCGCATCCAGTGATGTTTTGTCAACTTTTTTTTGTTGATTTCTTTGAGTATCCCTCTTCAATCCACCACGACCTTTTCCTCTGTTGTTATTTCTCTTATTTTTAAACGCATTTCGAACGAAACCTCTTCTTGTTTTACTTTTTGTTGTGCTAACCAAACCGTTTCCATTGGTCTGTAACGTTGCTCCTCCATGTCCTAAGCGTGATAATACAGCGGATCTTGCTCCTCTTGAAATTCCACGTCCTCTGGTCTTCCCACGTGGCGCTCCTAACCTATCTTTTATTGATATTTTATTCCAGTTTTGTGTGACTCGATTCCTTTCTAATTGTAGCTGGTGTGCTAATCGCCCGTTACGTTTGCGTACTGTACCGTGAATCGCGATTCTAGCCTCTATTACGGTTGGAGGTCGGTTATGCATTAGCTTGGTAAATCTCTCATTAAGGCTTACTTTAGTTGCGGCCCTCAAAAGTATCTTTGTAGGTTTTGCTTCAGCCATCTCTCTAATTCGGTTGTCTATGACTATGTGATGACTCCGTTTTAGCGAGCTCCTATTTATGTATCCGGAAGTATGAAAAACAAATATTAGTTCTCGACCCTTTCGGAAGATATCGCTTAAATATATTATCTTTACGCCAATATTATCACATCTTTTTACAGACGTTGCGATGTAGCCTATCTGCTGAATCGCGCATTAGCTAGTCATTCGCTGTAGGATGCGCCGAGTGAGGTTGCGACATATGATTATAGACGTGTACCTAAACATTTAAAGCCCTGATATAGACGTGAAATATCAATTAGATAACGCGATGAAGAATTCAACCACCGCGGCAAATTTTTTATATTTTTCTTTTCCTACAACTTTACGTTGTAATGAGACATAAGTACAGATATTATAATATAGCTGGCCTATGTAGACCATATAAAATTTGTGTGGCCATATTAATGTTATATTTTCTACAATATAATAATAGACGGCATTAATGCCGTGATTTCTTTGAAGTTTCAAGTCTAAACGTTTAGTTTTTGTTATTGTAAGTGTAATTGGACGTGGAGATGTTATGATATAGATTGCCTGAGCATAAATTGTAGTAATTAAGTAAATAGGATTCGTTCTTTTTTCGTCGACCAGAGCATAAAATTTGTGTGTATTTGTTCTTGGACTATATATGCATAAGGCATTCGCACTTTATGTACATTACTTGAATGGCTGATACATCCAAATGGTTATATATAGCCTACATATAGTATTGGCGGTATATGCATATGACATCGAATCTATAAGTATATAAGTGATATTTAAGAACCTGTCGTTTACAACGATGCTTTTATTGAATCAATAATCATAATGAATTTATGAAAATTTATAGAGAACAAATAACACCTATTTAAATAATAAAAAATTGTACGGCTTTATTATAATGTAAGATATATATTTTTATTTGGAAAAAAAATCTTAAAATTGATGAAAATTACTTATATCACAACACATTTTTATTTATAATATGGATCAAACGACGAATGATGGGGTCTAGCAATCCTGGCTTCGGTGTTTATATGTTCTGGTTTGGCTTTAGTCGTGTCTATCACAATTTTCCCCAAGTTATGATCCTCTCTTCCTCTTATCAGACCGAATCTTCTTTCTCTAGGGTGCAACACACTTATAGCAGGCGATTTTTGAGTTAATGACGTTACGTTGCACACCTGTGACGGCACAATAGGACTTTTAGGCGGCAAAATCTTTTTAAAAGGAGATTCAGTTATTGATAAACGTGGAGAATACATTGGTATCGGCTCTTGTTGCGAGTTTGCTAGGGAAACTGAAGTGTATAGGTTCACTGACTCGTCTGACGAAGATGATCTGTCGGCATACATAGTATGTAACGCACTTTCTTCTTTAGGCAAAAATTCTGACTTGGTTCGTGAAGTAATAAATGACAAATCACGACGCAATGTCGATATTTCATTGATGATGTCATCAAACGATTGTTTGTCACCGTCGCAACTTTTGGAGTGCGAAGGCTCATCATCAAGGAAAGCAGATAGTCGAGCTTTTGTTTTCCAATCATATCCCGGACAACTTACTCTTTTTTTCAGCTCTTCTAAAATAAAAATAAAAAAGTAATTCTTTAACAACCTGTTATTATTGGTAACGCGTGAGCCAAGGGCATTAAACATTTTTCTCCAAACAAGCATTTTTCAAGCAGACAGATAATGACCTAACACAATGGCACAAGGATTTAAAATAGTTTCGACCGTCTACAGACGGATCTTAGTATAGAGTATAAACTATAGACCATTGGTTCTCAAGACTTTTTGCAAAATTTCATTTTTGGCCTATTTTGGAGCTAATTCCTCTTCAGTTGGTAGACGCGGGTATAGGCAGTTTATAGCCAGGGGGATTACAATGTTTCTCTTATCAGGATTTGCCAATGCCAGATGAAACCAGAAAAAATGGTGCAGCATTATTTGTACCTGAATTGTTTTCAAATTCCCATTAGTACTGAAAAGTGATGGGAGTATTATAAAAATGTGATAGTCTTTCAAATCACGTGACCGACTAATTGAAATCCGTAATTAAATACCATGCGTTTTGTAAGCGATACATTTGGATCGCTACCTAATTTGTTGCATTACGGCATTGGAATCGTAAAATTTGTGTGATTAGGATATTTTTTTAATTGTTTGCTTACTTTCACTTGAACTGCGCATACTATCTCCTGTAGGTGGCACTAAGGGATTTTTTGCTTTGTTTGAGATTCCGCCATGGCTTAGTGAACCAGAAAGTTTTGAAATTATTTTCGGTGGATCATACTGTGCCGTCGTTTTCCTCATTTCCAATGGTATGTTATGATTGATGGCGTCATCACGAAGAAATGACGTCACTCCTTCGCCATTTACGTCACAGATCGTCCAATATTCAGCATCTTCATCATTATCAACCACTACTTTGTCATTCATATGTAGTGTAATCTGGGAACAAACGACTTGAATTTTGTTCATTCAAATAATTTACCTTCTAGATAAAACGCACCTTTGTTGCGATCAAACTTAATTATAATGAGAAGTGACTTCAATGAAATATGTTCATAAAATAGAAGTTTGAAAATGAGCGTCTCGATCATTCAATTGTAAAAAATTACTTACCGGCGTTACTGCTTCCATCGGCACTGTTTGAGATGGGCCTGGCTTAGTAGAATCGATACATTGGTTCTGACCGCGAATAAATGCGCTAAACCTCTCGTAGCCTTAAAAACAAATACAATAATGTTACATGTTACTGCATTATAACTTATTTAAATTCCTTATGTCTAATTCATAGATATTGACAAAAATAACGTTTCTATAGTTTCAGAAACCTCAAATTTGTCTTTGGGTAAGGGCATACAACAGTATGATCTTGAATAAATTGGTGTATTTTGTCTATGCAGAAGGAATAAATTCAATTAACCGCGTATCAGGATTTTGAGTATAGAATTTTAGTAACTGCCTAAATTTATTAGTCACGCCATATTCAGTCAGTTCATTTGTTGCGGTGGTAAAAAGCGATATTTTTATTTGAACATAATTTTCTGTAATAATACGGGTTTAACCTAAAAGGATGTACACAGTTTTTTGGTTATTTTTTTAACATTAATACCTGATTACATACTGTTTACAAAAAAATATATATGTACCATCGGAATATTACTGTTAATTTCATGGAATCACCTTTGCAAAGATTTGTTAGCTTCAGCAGCGGTCGTAAAATTCGATGATACAAAACATTATTGCTCGTGTAAAACATTTTGACGTTTCAACGCCATTACATTGCGAGCTTGCGCTCGACTCGATCTATAAAATCAATGCGATGGGCGAACGTCCAAAGCAAAATTAGATTAAAAAGTTTAGATGCGATATCCGTTTCCAGGGTGAAATAGATTTCCTATATCAGTTGTTTAAAAATGGGGTAATTTTGGTATTGCCCTTTAGCTATCATACCTGGGAAATCCATACTCAGACATAATCTATACACGGTCCTACCCTCACCTTATTGTTTGCCAGTTATGATAAAGCTAAATTCATCATTCAAACCAACAAACCTCTTTCTAAAGAATTTCTAGATCTTCTTACTACTTCGTAGATATTTGTCACATTCTTTTTGTTTTGACAAAACACAATATAACAAACAGCTGACGCGAGGCATATCACAACTAGAAGAAGTATAATTCCGATGATGGTCATGGCAACGACAAAGGAACTCCACGATGATGACGTCACTAGGATGACTTCTGTTTCTGGATTAGTATCCTCTTCAGGGGCAGAAACGGTTACTTCTCTGAGATAATATTATTAAAAGTCGAAGTGAATATCACGGTAATACCCATGTTAGTATTCGTTTGGTTTTTTTTAATGTCTTTATTTGATGATGTGGTTGATAAGTTGCAATCATCATTTTCTTGATTTGGAATTCCGGTGGACGTAGGAAGCGCATCGGACGTGGCAACGTGAAACTTAATTTCATTTGTGGGAATAGCATCGTTGCAGTTCGGCAACAACGGACATTTAAATTTTCGTTCTTTTCCTACTTCGACAGGTAAACAACTAACACCTGATGCGATGTCACTGTTATTCTGCAATGCCACACATTTTCTTACCGATGTTATCATACCTATTGAAAGCCCATCGGTACATTTGGCACCGCAGTCATCAGAAAGTTTTACCAATGACCACCGGAAGTGGGGTTTAGAATTACATTGTGACGTTTCACAATTTGTCCAATTCACTTTACAGTAGTGGACCCTGTTCTTTTTGTTCTCACTCAGTCTTGAATAACACAAAGAAAACGTTCTTTTGTATTCATCCTCGCACTTGTCACAATTTTCAGTTATTTGGAAGTTTTGAAATCCGGCGTGACATCGATTTCGTGGAAGGTAAAACGATCTGTCAATCCTGACCTGACCCTTCTTGCAATGTTTTTTACCGTCTACATTCTGCCCTGATGCTTGCAGTTTTGTAGAAACGCATTTAGTCCGATTGAGTTGAATTGCATATCGGCAAGATTTTGCAGAATTAAATCTGTTCTTTTCTTTGAATTCGTGCGTTTTCCATTTTATGTCTGACGACAAGTACACCCATTTGTTGCATAAGCAGTTTTCATCTTTATCTGGAATCTTGTTTGATAGCCAGTGCTTCAGACAGCTATAACTATCAAATTTAAATACAATTATTAGAATCAGTATAAACACCACTTTAAGTTTGATTCTCATATCTGTTTTAATATAAAAAATATTTATTTTTGTATTAAAAAAGGGATATATACTGTAATGAAATTATGATGGCCAATTAGTCACTTGTTCGAAAATAAGCAATTAATTCTGCAGAACAGTGCATGGCTCCCTACATTTTACGACATATTCCAGCTTGTTAAATATTTAATGGATCTTTATCTAGTGATACGCACAATTCGCGATCTGATTTTGTTCATTTTGAATAGTTTATATTGCATCCATACTTAAGTATTACAATACTTTTGTATTTTTTTTCTCACCACATTTGAGTGACATATTTTCTATTGTTCAGCACAAAAGGCTATTTTGCGAAGTGCTTTTTATTTCTCCTTTAATAAAAAAAAAATTAGAATACGACTAAGTAACTAAAGAATATTAGTGAAACAAACTAAATCAAATACAACGTAATATGTCTGTATTTCCAGTAGGCTATTAGCTACTCATAAAACCATTAACAGACGCTAGGATCGGAATTATCTCACAGGCATACTACACCCCTGGTTTCAAAGAAATGCTAATGACCATAACGGTTTGCAACAGAGCACAAAAGAGATAAACGAGACGTATTAAGCTGTACTGCAGCAACGTGGAAACCGCCTTTACTCTGAGGAACTAAAGACCTTTTTTGCTCAAAGTAGTGTTGCTAGCAAGAATACGCAAAAATCATTTAATAACCAGTTTTCTTTTCATATTTTCCCAGCCCTATCATTAATTAACGGTTTTTTTAAGTTTGCGCAATATCTTGTTTTTTTTTACGTTCAAGCTCAAATTGTGCAAGAGAAACGATATAGCTTTAGAATTATTTCTCATGACCAATATTCATAATATGAATATGTATTCGTCTGATTTATACTTCTGGTTGAAAATTTTTTACGTCGTCAAATTCAGCAATACAAAGTAAAACAGAATTCTACATACCTTGTATCAATAGTTTAAATTCCGCACCAAAGACGAGTAATAACAACCCGCCAAAGATCACTGAAATATATATTTCATATATCGATTGTATGCTAAACAAGCGTCTGTATTTACTCTGTGAAATGTTTTTTTCGATCTTTGTATATTTTCAACAACTGCAGGCCTGAACTCGACTCTGATGAATAGTGCGAAAGTTCTATACCCTCAATATCTTTATTTAATCTAATTAGAAGGAAACTTTCATAAATTGCTGTCGTTTCTCAACCACCTTGAAATACCCGAGATAAACAAGAAATTTTATCATTTCGACGATCGCGAGGGTTTCTGCAAACTAAATTAATTATTCATCCGGGTCGTTTTCCTTAGGGAAAAACCTTCGGTGAAATCTGTCTATCTACGTCTCACCAAACAAAGTTAGTGTTCGTCTAAACCTGGATATGTGTGACGTCATTGCGATATAACGGCACATTATACATCATTTTGGTAGCGCATGCGCACTTCAATTCACTACACAAAGTAGTTGAATATATAATAAAAGTTATATTATGTTGTAGTCAGTAGACGTGAATCTCTGATCAATTTTGATATTTTAAACTTCAATGATAGGGGTATTGAAATATGATATTACCGGAACACGTTATGGATATTCGGTATATTGTTTGCAATGCAGGAAAATATACTTTTAGTTTATTGACCTCGAAATATTATCATTTAATAAATTTTTACCGGCAACAAAACACTATTTTAAAGATATTAGGTATTGTACAAAACTTTTGGATGTGTTAAAAGTCTCTAAAAGACATTAAACATTATGAAAAACGATTGATCGCTACTCTACCGTAATACAAGACCGTTTCATAAGCTGAATGTTAAACGTGCCTGACTCTTGTTACAACACTATCAACTTTATCTAAATCCTTTCACTTTGTTACAGAAATCACCAGTACTTTAAAGTACATCGTAAAATCGAATTTCATATTCCAGAAACTTTCGCTTGAGTACAAAAGAGGATACTAAACACGCAAATTCATTTATTTGTTATATTACAATATCAATGATAATATTAACCATAAATAGCACGACAACTAATACAATTATGCAAAGAAAAGTCATTATTCACTCCAAAAATGAGTAAATTTCATTTTGCATTGAATACAGTTTTCCTTAAACCGGCTGGATGTACAACAAATTAGTATTTTTATTATACTCTAACACGTGATGCTGTGCGGCATCAGATTTTTGATTGAATAAATTTTACTTCATCATAGAATTCAGATTCGGATATTTAAAAAACAATGCGTGATATGAAATAATGAATAAATACAATAATGAACAATTTCCAAAAACGGATATCGGCTTGTTACAGTTGACGCTGGGTTGCGAAAGACTCAAACAGTCATCTAGTCGGCGACACCTGCAGCTAAATTTATTCAGCAAATATAGCAACCGGACAACTCAATACTACACATTTACTTAATTAAACACAATCATACAAAAAAAAAGAAGAATAAAAAAAATAGAATTAAACCACGTGATGCCCCAACACAATCATACAGAAAAAAAACAACTACAAGAAAATTCGAGACAAACCACGGGATGCCACAATTACTATAGTATATTAAACATTTACTTAATTAAAACACAATCATACAAAGAAAGAACATCAAGAAACAGGAAAAACACCACGGAATGCCAAGATGACTACAGGGTGATAGGTGGCGCAACAGAGACCGCTGTAAATAGGATATGCCAAATGACTACGGTGCACAGCGAAATAACGATGATGAATATGACTCAGCATTCAGCCTACGCAAAGATTGTGTACCCAACTACGGGGTTTAGGTTGCTAGGGCTGATATTTGCCAAATCTTTTCTGTTAAAAACAATTGTTATTGAATTATTGACTTATCAAAATAGTGCAGAATGAATCGTGCGTTCTGCACAATTTGTGGCAATTAGGCTGGGCTGAAAATGATAAAATGATAAACACGACACAACAATCAGACAAAAGCAAATGGCAACTTTCAATACTTATTGTTTAGAAAAGTTGAAAAATTTGTACTTGACGAACCTTGATGAACACAGATGGGTATAGCAAGCAACACAAAGTCAGACACTTAAGTGTTGTTTTCAGACTAATGGCAACTAGGCCTACAAGTACCCAGGTGGGAGGCTTTTCAGTTCCTATTTGTAAGAAGTATAATTACTAGATTAAATGTTTCTAGGGAGATAATTCCATAATTAAACGCCAACAACTTCGATCGAGTTTTGGGTGAGTTTGGTGCTAAAGCGATGCACTCAATAAAAACATCTACTGACAGATCTAACAGAAAAACCCGTTTCATATGAACATTTCTCTGTTTTAAAAAATAGTTCGTGAAGCAGAAGGGAGTTTTTTGCAGTGATATTGGTGCATTATTTTATAAATAACTGACAATTTAATAATTTGCAGATTATAATAAATAGGACCAAGTCGTGAAAGATAACTGGCAGCAGCCAGCAGACATTGATCGATATTGGATAATTTCCATGCGATGTAATAGAGTTTTGTCAGCTGAACCTTAAGCAATCATGCCATAAAAATCCATCGTAAAGCAAATTAGAATATATGTTATAAGATTCAATTTATCTGGAGAATGTTTAGAAATGAAAATATCATAAAGAAAATTTACTCAAAGATGAAAATCGATATCGGCAGGGTGATATCTTTTTATATTTGAAAATTTTCTATACGATGCTACAATATTTCATTATCTTAAAGTAATTCAGCATATAGACAGCACTTCATAAAATTCTCGAAACAGTTTCCTGGAGAACGGTGATATTTGTTACGTCCTTTGATTGGGCTTTTATCAATATTATTATCGATACCACGTTTGATGGTATTGTATTTTATCCCAATTCTTTAGTGGGCCAACGCGCAAGAAAGGCTTATTAGACCTCACACTTTTCAACCGTCTATTCTTACAATAAATTTAAATTAATGGACACTGTCACCATAACGTTGAATCACGTTTTTAACAAAGCATATTTGAAGTTCATAAACTTATTTTATGGAACATTTTCACTAATGTACAAAACAGTATTTTCTATAATGAGAGTAAATGTAAACAAAAGAATTTTAAACTATGGAGTACAGAGCAAAAGGAGTAACATGTCACCTGAAACAAGGTCGAACCAAAAAAAAAAGAATAATATTCTAATATTCCTGAATAATACTCATAAACGATCTTTTCATATATCGAAGCTTTTTTGTGATATTCAGTAAAAAACTTTTCCAAATGAAAGACTTTCGTACACTTTTTCGTAAAGTTTGTCAATTTCCGAACTCAGACTGTTTTTTGCTGAGTTAACACACGACGAACATGATGGGCAGCCTGCTGGCGGCAACTTCGCGGCAGCCTTTTTTTCCACATAACTTTTATTGCAACCGTGATAGGCCTCCATGTCCTTTTGTTTACTTGATATCCGAAAGCTGTCACGATCGGCTTTTTTTTTTGACTACAAAGTTATTGTAGTTTATTTGATATGTTCATATATGGGAAAATCAATATAAATTATATACTATTTTATATTCATTGAAAATTAGACGAAAAGAATCACTAAAACTCATTGATTATTGATTTAAATAGCGACCTTTCAAAAAGTAATCAAATAGAAACGCTCTGGTAACTCAAAACAATCCATTCAAATATATTTTTATTGCTTTAATAACCATTTTAATAAATGTATGTAGATTATTCCATTTTGCTTGTGTAATTTTACACGAGTCGGAAACGCTATAGACTGATATTTTATCGCAGAAGAGCTGGGAACTATAATGTAAATATGTAATATATATAAAGAAACGCAAATGTACTGACTTCGTAAACTTCATGTCTGTAATATCCAGCGTGCTCATTCACCACTTCTTGATACTTTCTTTTGCGTGTTTTCTTAATGTGAGCAAAAAAAGCTATTAAATGACTTTGATTATGGAAGAAAAATAAATATGCACATTACCATCAATGAAGTATGTTTGTTGAAAAATAACTTGCGAGCCTCTTCAATATCATTATTTCTTTCTTTTCGGAATTTTTCAAACCGACTTGAACTTTTGTTGACAGAATCATCAATTTGGAGCCCTTTTGCGCCTTTGCTTGTATCATAATGAGCATGGTCGAATTCGGAGTTCGAATGAAAGCACGTATTTTCAAGTTCCTGTTAACATATTTGATAGAAAATAAAATATTATATATCAGTGTAACTGCGGTAAAATATGATAAAAATTGTTTGTTTATTAGATTTACTCCTGACTTACCTGTAAATAATTTACTAAATAAAACTGATATATCTACTAACTCATTGCAGTATTGTTTCATAGAAATTTAAAGGGGAACACATTGACTAAATCCAGTCTACCATAATGCGGTACGATTTAAATATTGAAAGTTTCTACTATAATTTTAAAAAGAGTAAAGTACTAAAGTTGTGGTTTAAATTTTTACAAAAAAAGAGTGACGCACAAGAGCGTAAACGATAGCATGGTTTAGATCGGGCATTCTCAATTTTTGTACTTTCGTTTGTTCTTAGCCATATTCAAAGGTAATTTTCTCCCAAATGTTCTGCTTCCTACAATTCCTCTGATGACTAACGGGTGAAAATAGACTTGGAGGAAATGATTATGTTTGAAGGTAATTTTGTTGAGTTTACACAATTTCAAATACTCAAAAATGATAAATTATTTGGAAGGAAATAACTTGGGAAGAAATGATTATGTTTGAAAGTAATTTTGTTGAGTTTACATAATTCAAAAACTCAAAAGTGGTAAACTTTTCGTTCATAACTGACAAGCATTCATGAATATCATCACGATTCACCAAAGAAGTTGTTTATCGATGTTATTAAAAAGCTGGCAGCAGAGAAATTTATGTTTACGTTGCATAACGTACCACCGCGGGTGAATCTAACCCGTTAAACACTTTGTTTAGACATTTCGTACACAAAACGACTATATTATTATGTGTCATTTCAACAATATTAAATTTACCGCAAATAAAATTATGCAAATAAAAAGCTTGTGCTCGGAGTCAAAGTCATTTTAAACCTTTCTGTTCAAGAATGATATTAGTCAAAAAAAATTGAAAGCCGATATGTGTGCGAAGATTTACCATATTGATGTCACTCACATGTTCCATATCTCTTTTATACTTCTTAATTGCGTCGACTTTCATGTTTGCAAGCGCAGAGTTTTCTCGAACCTACAAAATTAAGGAAGATATGGCTATAAATGGTTCATATACTTTCTTGTTTAAATTTTATTTACAATAATTTGAAGAGTCTTTGCGGACTAATTATATTTCTGACTACATTACGATATTCTTACTATTTTTTGTTGGTTTTTATTTTTCATATCTTCAAAACTGTCCGCCATTTTTCCTTCAAATTTTTCCTCAACGAGTTGCTGAACATCCTCTCTTAATAACGACTTTTTGTTATCTATCCACTTTTTTGTTTCTTGTTTGCTACTACTGTGGATCGTCTTCAAATCATATTCGTCCATCCCATATTTTGTTTCCTTTGATTGAAAATAGTAAAAAAAAATTACATAAACAGGTTTTGAAAAATTCTTTAATTGTCTTTTTTGTATACGTAGTAGTGTGAACGAATACTTACAAGCAATGCAGATAAAAAAATCATTACACTATACTTTACATACCATTTCCACTATTTCGCTGTATTTCTTTGCTGCTGCATTGATTGTCTCATTTGCCATCTTTTCACATTCAACCTGCAAAATACAAATATTATGTATAAAGCTGTTTGAAACAATCGTTTCAATATTTTTTCAGTAAAAAAGTGACATGGAATTTCAATATTTCGACAATAGCTCTCCTATTGTTCTGGCATTGTCGCAATCTTAGTTGTTTTTATCTAACCCAAAATTTGATACCATTATTTATGCGCATGCAATTGCGTTTCTTGTCATAGTTGTAAAAATACTTGTCTGAAGAAGGCTGACCTCGTTCAGACGAAACGTTACAGAAATATATTTGTGTAAATGTGCAGCAAGACTCTTGAATGGAATAGAATACTTATTTTCACTCTTGCTATAGCTTCCTTGCGTTGTACGAATATGGATCCACCTGCGCCAAGGCATAGGGCAAGGAAAGATAGTTAGTTCCACGTAACCCCAAATGTTAGTTACGTTATCTTTTTTAAGATGCAATTTCTAGCAGAATTTTTCGAATTGGTAATGTGATATGCAGTACGTATAAAGCCAAAATATGCGTGTTCAGCAAACACATATAAATATAGGGCCGATGTGTTATGCATATATAGCCAAAGCCATATGCATACGAAAATGGCTGTATATGCATAAAAAATTAAATTTTGGGTGTGCTCAACTTGAATGACTTTGGTGGAGTCATATATATATCATATATATATATGAGTTGGCTGTATGTGCATATCACATTGGCTGCATATGCCCATGACATTGGTTCCACCATCATTTCAAATTGGTTTAATATGCACAGTATGACATATATGTATAAAAGTTGGCTGTATATGTCAATTTCTCCACTGTATATGCATATGCTATTGGTCGTATAAGCCTATGTCATTCGCTGTATATACATATGTCATTGGCTGTATATGCATACGACATTGGCCGCATTGCATTGAATGAATGAATAAATATAATACATTAATTCAGGGGTCGGCAACCTACGGCCCACGGGCCGAATCCGGCCCGCGAAGTAATATAATCCGGCTCGCGATGCTTCACTGAATTATAGTAACAAAACAGTTGTTTTGGCGATTATATTCTTCACGTAACATAATTTATTATGAGACAAAATTATGGCCTAACAGGTATGTAATTCACAATTACTTGTTTGATGAGCCAATAATTTAATTATAATTAGACAAATAGCAACAAAACGCAGAAAAGATGGCGCCGAAAATATTCAAATGAAATTTTTTGAAGTGCAATGAGGAACTATATCTACATTTTATTAGAGATGTATCGCTGCTTGATTTTTATTATAAAAAGTATCATCCGTTCAATTTTCAACTGTACCAAAATATGTGCGGCCCGCCAATGACTTGCAACCCATAATTTGGCCCGCGAGCAACAAAAGGTTGCCGATCCCTGCATTAATTGAATGAATGTATCTTTATTTGGCTGTATATGCATATGCTCTGGATAGCAGTAGACTGTATTTGTATATGACGATAATAATCCTACCTATAGGTATGGCTCAAAATGTTATCGTCCGATTTCTTCTCTTCGAAATTAATATTTAAAAAATAAAATATCCAAAATAATAGGATACTTTCAAACTGAGAAACTAATATATCACTTTTTTATTCGCACAATGTTAAAGAGATCGTTTATTTACTTTGTGTTCTTTGTTAAATCCGTCAAATATTTTTTTTTCATCTTCGCAAAGCTCCTTCAGTGTATTTAGGCATTCTTGCAATACATTTTCATCGGGAAGATGCTTCTCGGGAAGTTTGTCGTAAGAATTAAACTTTGCTATGACATGTTTGACAGCTGTTCTATGATGCGAGACCATGGTGTTTTCGCGGCAATAAATTGAACCACAAAGCTGTGATATATAAATTCAAAGATAAAAGCCAGATTATTTAGCGTTACAGTATACGGGATAATTATATGTGACGCACACAACTTTCACTGTTTTACAAAATAATTGCAAGTTTGTTGTGAGATCCGAATTATATAAGTTTTTTTAGCAAATAATGATTGAATATTCTATATCAGAAATAAGTGCCAATCATTTATCTATGGATATACATAACTCTGGAACCTAGCGAAGCTGATTATATTCAGATGTACAAATACCACACATGGAAGACATATATTAAAATATAATACTCTTATAATTCTCGTATAATTGTGATTGCATTTAGTTAATGCCTTGACACAAGCCTATGGTTGGTTAAAAAATATAATGTTAGCGCGAAAATTGTTTTTCTCAAAAACTTTTCTAGGATCCACGGCTCTTTGTGATAAAAAAAAGTTTGCTGATATTTGAATCAAATGTAATGATTTAGTCAATGGATGCCCACAATCGAGTGAGTGGCCAACAATGCATGGATTACCTCTTCCATCTTCTGTTTGTATGCTTCGATACACTGCATATTGACATATTTTTCCAAACTCCGTTTTCTTCCCTCCTACGTAGTAAAAACAGGGTACGAGGTTTTTAATTCATCAGGGCAAATTTCATTGAAGAAATTGAAAAAAAAATGCTTTTTGAGCTGACAAATCAAAGTTCAAAATTATAATTACCAATGTATTTCGAATAAAATACGGAAATGTTTAAATATTTTCTCAAAGCATTTTTTTGCAAATCTAGTCTTTCTGAGGGAAAGTCCTCGAATATTTCGTTGTTTGAATTTGCTTGAAAATCGCTTCAATTAAATGATTACTAAGAGTAAAGCATGAAATGAATGTTTTCTTCGCAAAAGTATCGTTAAAGCATGTAACTATCTAAGCTTTGATTGCGCTTGCAACGTTTCATTATGTTTGGTTGAGATTTATTTATTTATATCAGTTGAATCCCTCACCTTCAACTCTTCATTTTTCAGCTTCCACTTTGAGAAATCATTTTTCAATAATTTTTGCAATTTGCCGAAGCATTCAGTTTGCACAACTTTTGGGAGCTTTAACGCTTCAATTTTGAATTGAGCTGTATCAGATGCATCATCGTGAAACCCGTTCAAGGTGTCGATGTTATACGTTTTAACACCAATAACCTTGATTTTAAAATATTAGATCATTTAACGCCATATGATACTATAAATTTAATACTTGAAATATTAAGTAAGTGTAGATTCAAACTTTTTTCAAATATAATTTGTTAACGTTTGAACATAATGTATTACAAATTCTTACATATTTGTTTCATGAAAATTTATTTTTATTGGTAGTCCAGTTTTTCCAGGTACAAAATCGTTACATGCCGGGTTTTTAATGTAAGTTTAGGAACATTTACCAGTATACAAGAATGCGGTAGTGGTAAAAAATTGAACGTTATTAGTTTTACTTTTTTCATTTCTTCCTTATACAACGTTTGTGCCTCAGAAACACATTCTTCTCCAGCATTTCTTTTCTTTTCCTAAGGAAAGAATTTTAGTTTTTATAGATAGGTAAATATTTTCATACGGTAAGCTGTTATTAATACAATAATGAGTAAATAATTTATATTTAAAGATTTTGTGACATTCTACTCAATGGAGAGATTTATTCATATCTGTCTATGTAACTGAAAACTCTATTTGAAAAAATTGTCCTAAACATTACCTTAACATATTAGTTTAATCCAAGATAATGTGATGCAAAAATGTAAAAGCTAACCACAACCCTAACGCTCTCATGAAACGCCAAATTCTGCAGACGAACAATAATAACATTAGGGGTTATCACTCTTCTTAAGTGATTTGAATGCCTTGCCGGTGTCCTAATATTTTCCTATTAGATTTTGACTTGATCCCTGTTTTTCCTGGATGCGACTTATGTGTAATATGAATATGGCTCTAATATGGTTGGGTCAGTAAAAGTTAACATTCTTAATGTACACGTCTTATTATGGACTTAACTCAAAACAAAACCAATAAGACATTTTCGCGCCTTTTTCAAGCATGATCTAGGCTTGTCCGAGTGTTTTTGCACCCGGGTGGTGCGTCACTCCTTTTTGGCATATTTCCAATTTTACGAGTTTTATATCTGTAAATATTTGAAAGCTAAGAAACATACAAAGGAATACGTTATTACTTGAAAGAAAGTAATTTACGCGGCCGAGCGCTCATTTTCCTCGCGTAAACACGCACTAATAATTACCCGCCCAATAATAAACAAACAAGAACTGCGTTGACTTCACAAATATACCGCTCCGTTACTCGGCAGCTGTTTGCGCTACACCGTTGCCTGTGATATCATTTTTGTTAGGAAAACAAACACCAAAACGGCAAAAACGCTTGCGAGAGAGTGCCGTTATCATAAGTAAGGTTCAACGGCCATAAAGAAGAGAGGTTCGAATGTTTGTTTACTATCGTCGATGAATTTTATCACGTACGCAGAATTTCGTACATGGAGCGGTCCATTAGCGACCTCCTGCGTATAGAAAACAATAATACGAATCAAACAAGCCTTCAATGGCCTTTCAAGCCATATTGGTTAGGTGACAAATGCTAATTAAAAATATTTTAAAAATTTGACTAGGGAGTGCGGATTAGGAAGGTTCGAATGTTAAAAGCGTTTGAGCCATCAAGAAGGCAATTCAAAAAATGGAGTAATTTGACAAAAAAAAATGTCAAATGTTTTCTAGTAAAGTTATATAAAATAAATAATTAAAAAAAAACATTCCAGTCAACTAAATTATTATCATCCTATCATCTAATAACATATTTATTTTTTAAAGACCGCCGAACTCGTACACTTATATAAAAGTTCTATGTCCGTGTTACTGGAATATTTTGGCAGCTGCATCGTCAAGCGTTTGTATCCCCCTTATTGCTTGCAGAAATACATTTACTTCTCAGGCTTTCATTTTTTCATATTGCGATAGAAAATAAATATCTACCATACCAGAAAATCATTTTGCTGTTGTCTAAAATCACTCCAGTCGGACTCTATGTTTTCTTCCAACTGTGCTTTATGTGTTTGTACAATTTCCTTGTTTCCAACAAGTTCTTGTCTATCGTAACGTTTCAGAGTTGCCTCCTTTGCTCTATCGTGATGAGGAGTGAGCTCCTCTTCTTCTACAATGTTTTGTCCAATCTTATAATAAAACCAACTAATAATTTAACATTGAAAGAGAAATATTACAAATTTAAACTGAAAACCTTCATTAAATCACTAATTTGAATCATTATTTTTCAATAGGATGTGATTTAAATCGCATGTTCAAATATGCGCAAAAACATTTATCGATTATTTTCAAAATATTTCCATTAATTGCGTTTTTCATAATTCGATAATCAATAATCGGTAAATTGGTTATAAGCAAAAAAGAGATGATGATGAAATTATTTAAATTTGTCTAAAAAAGCAGCGCCAAAACGCCCGCAGAAGTACAAGAATAGTATAATATCAATAATCTTCTGCATAACCATAAGTTCAAATTTCATATGAAAATCTAAAAATTAGATAATATAAATATATATATAGCATAATAATAACTGTAAATAATATAGATGATATATTTTACCCGTTTGATGAGCGTGTTGTAATGCTCCGCACACCGCTCTATTTTATCTTTGCAAAGTGCTTTGAACTCGACCTGTTAAATTTAATTGAAGTCAAGTACAGCTAAATAATGTAAGTTGACACGGTACAGAATAGACTCTTCATTCAAAAACGCTCGAATACATGTACCTTTCTATATATAGATATATATCTTACCTCGGCTTCTTTGTTTGTGTTTGTTAGGTCTTCCTTCCAATCTTCAATTGCATTTTTCATATTCTCTGCACACAATTTTTTCATGGATGCAGCTATTTGCATGTTCTGAAGAGCATTTTCCGCCTTTCTTTGAGCTTTAGAAAAATAGTTTTTCAGGTCTGTGGCAGAACAAGAATGTTCACCGGTGTTCTAAAGTTAAACATATATATATATAAATATATATATATATATTGAACAAGTAGTAACGAATCTCTTACATCGTCAGTAGTCTTCGTTATAAAAAAAACTCCCGGCTTTGCCGCGACAAGAATCGCAATTTTCAATTTTGTTGAAATCATCACACAAAACTTCAAAGTCAAATATCATTGGGCTCACAGAAAAAACACCAACAACAAAATTATAGTGTAATGATTGAAAAGGGGAAAATTACCGATTCCACTGCGCGCTCGAAAGTCCTTTTTATCCTGGCCATGTATTCTTCACACTTGCTGCCAGCCCATTTCTGATAGAATATAAAAACGATAATGGGTAGTATTTTATATCATTCAAATATCCAATGCCTATTTTTGAATATATTTTTGCTTTGCTTTGTTCTAACATTTAGTTTATGGATAAAATCGTCTTTGCTTTATGGGCACTCAAAATATAAATTCTGAATGTGAATTCGGAAATAATTAGAATGAATTTAGAATATTTTTTCATGTGAGGATTCAGATCATTCAACCTTTTTGTCTGCTGCCGTCTTCTTGTAGTGCAAATAACGCTCTTCGATCATTGTCGATAGTACAGTCATTGAATTGTCTCGAATAGTTTCATCCAATTTAACTTGAGTAATCTTGTCTATGGCAAGTTTTTCAGCTTCTTTGTGCTTTTCTTCGAGTTGAGACTCATCTGGCAGACTTTCGCACGCCTTTTGAATAAAAATATAACATTCAATTTAATGCGAATGCCTAAAAAAACATTTTATTTTATGAGGTATTAGGTGTTAGATCTCCAGCGCCGGTAGTGTCTATTTCTCTATTGCTGACACGTTTGCGTCTTTTCGTTTGCCAACGTCGCAAACGTCTCATTTCATTACTCGCATTTGAAGCGTTTCTTTATTATCTGTAGACCGAGCCGAGAAGGTTTCTGTCTACTGCAATTTGCGTGTTTATCATTATAGTATCGCCTCGCGTTAGGGCCAAATTTAAGAAATGCGGACAGCTAGTTTGCTGTTGCAATACGTTGCCTTTATGGGTATTCAGCATTAGGAAAAGCTGTATCATATTAATTCTAGTGGGCTGATTATGATTTCCTTTGTTTCATGCTTATTTAACTTGCTAATAGTTTAAAATTTGCTGTATTGGACTGCAATTTGTGAATCTGTTCTGCGTTTTGATTGTTTTGTGAAATATTCTTGGTGAGTTTTCCTTATTTCATTGCATTTGGCTTGTTATGTAGTAGTCTTATTTGGATGGAATACTGCTGGTATTATATTTATTCCCACAGTTAATGCTGTAGGGTTAAGTACTGTTACTGTAGTGCTTATTTGTTCATGTTTATTTCAGTGTTCTGCAGTTACATAAAAGATTCGATATATTGTTGACCTTGGCTAAAAACAGTCGGTAAGCGATATAATTTGATTGCATGTTGGTTATTTATGCGGCAAATCCATAGTATTTATAGTGTATTTTGTTTCCTTTAGAAAACCTCTCTCTCAATCTCTATCTCATCTCTATCTGTATTCGTCATCTGTTTCCGTAATCTATTTGGCTCCATCTGACATCTCGATTATATAATTTGTGCTGAGCAAGTGCTTGATATTTCCACGGCATATTACAATTCTCCTGTGTTTGAAGTTGTGTATTGTGGGCTTGTGGACTTCAGCTTGCTTATCTCAGTTATAAGACAGGGATAATTTGGAGAGTATTGTCTGGACCAGACAGAGACTGATATTGCTGTATTGGGATAGACTACTAGAGCGTTTAGACTGGAAAATATTGGCGCACGGTTCAGCGACCTTCGTCATCGTGTAGCAAGCAGGGTGCATAAGGTCACACCCCGTCAAGCTTCTACATAAAAAGTTTTCGACTTGTGCCTTTTTGCTGGGTGCAAAAAGTTTTCGATTATTGCCTTTTTGCTGAGTGCTAAAAGTTTTCGACTTTTGCCATTTTGCTGAGTGGAAAAAGTTTTCGACTAAGTTCTCGACTATTGCATGTTGTCCACTTTTGCCTTTTTGCTGAGTGCAAAAAGTTTTTGACTAAGCTTTCTAGCTGAAAGACTTGCTGCAAGTTTTCGACTCTTATTAAACAACAAAATGCTGCACGACTTTCATTGTTCAAGCTATAATAGAATCCAAGGCAAAGCAGCGGATGGACATTTTGCGATCTGCTTTGTAGGAAAAGTATTTGAGAGCTGAACGTTTGATGCTTCAACGTGAAAATGCTGGAAAGTTGTCAGTAGTGAAGCAAGAAGTTGATAAAGTGTTCCAGCAGCTAATCTCTTTAATTGACTTGATTCTTGAAAGTGCAGGTAAAGAGATTACTGACTTTCCTGCGACTAATGATTTGAAGCGTGAAAAATCGGAATTTGATTCACGCATCTCAGAATGGTTCGAAACAACCAGAAAATGTATTGTCAAAGTATGCGGGTAGTATTTGTTCTGACAATACATCGAGAGCTTCCTTCAAGAGAAGATTGCAGTGCAAAGTGAGACACGACCTAGTAATTGTACAGCTTCGTCACATGGAAGAAAAGCTAGAGAATTTTTATTGTGGGATATGGAATCAACTGGTGATTCAACAAAAGGTGATGGAGATTTAAAGAACTTGAGTCCTATGAACGCATTGCCAGGTACGAGCAGGGCAAGTGAGAAAAGGCCTTTAGTGCCACTGGCAAGCGGCAGAGAAGAGATTGCAAGTACTGAGCAAAAACCTACATTACCCAAAATAATTAACTCACTTCAGGTTGGTGCTAAATTTCCTTCTACAACTGTGCATAAAAATGTTATGCAAGCTGACGTTTCATCATTGAATAGGCCTCGATCTGCTTCGCTACAGAATGAGGCCACACATACCAGAATAAATACCAACCATGATGGCTATGCTGCCTCTGATTCGTGTCACGAAAGAGTACGTTTTGCAAGGTCGCATAATGTACACACATATTCTCAGACTCCATTGAGAAGAGATGATATTGCTGTTCCAAATAGAACTGGAAATGGTCAAAGCTATAACTTTCCGCCTGTGAATCGTTCGATGGCTCAGGATTGTCCATTTGCGGCTGAACCAGATGGAATGGCTGGCCGTTAACACCATCACTTTTTCCGGATAAATGAAAGTAGTGTCAATGAGTTGCCAGATGTGCAGACTCGTGGATATAGGACACTTCAGGAAATCGTGAGTCGGTTAATGATTATTTTTATGAATCTGGGCCACAACATTATTCACAGCGGAGAACAGAAATCCAGTTATACAGCATCACCATTATCATGGACGTGAAGAATTCTTCTCCCAAATTACCTGTGTTCAATGGAGATCCTTTGAAGTATATGTCTTTCATAACAAATTTTGACATCCACCTGGCACCGAAACTAGAAACAAATAGCCAGAAGCTTGTGTTTGTTGCAATATTGTGAAGAGAGAATTCGTGCACAATTAGAATACTTCACAAAGAAGCCTGAGAATGGATACAAGCTTGCTAGGCAGAGGCTGTTTGAAGAATATGGTCAGCCTCATATTATCGCTGGTGCATGTGAAAAGGTTCTAAAAGAGTTTCCAAGTGTGCGTGATGACAAGCCAGAGCAGCTATTTCAAATATCACAAGTAATGGAGCGATGCCTGGGAACTCTAGAAGACATTGATGAATTTGCAAATGTAAACACCCTGGACACTATGGGAATGCTGATGGCTAAACTTCCTGAAGATGTTCAGGATGGATGGCCACATGAAGCGCTCAGGATTCAAAAAAAGACTGGTCGTCAGGCAAAATATTGTCACTTGGTCGATTATGTTTGTAATTGGGCTGATGTGAAAAATTCAATGTATGGGAAAAAGCTCAATGAGATTCGCCACAAAAAGATTCGTGTGAGTGTGAAAAGAAACAGAGCTGCAACCTATAATATTGATGATGAGGCCAAAAGGGAACACATTGATCAAAAACGGGATTTGGGATGTATGTTGTCTTAAACCGCACAATTTGTGGAACTACCCGGACTTCAAGAGTAAATCGCATGAAGAAAAGGTCAGTCTTTTAAAAGAGCAGAAATTGTGTTTCAAGTGTCTGTCTCATGGTCATCTTGTTCGTAATTGCAAGAAGCCCAGCCAGTGCAAAGTACATGGATGTAAAGGAAATCGACATCACACACTGCTTCATAGATTTTTTGAAATTCAGAAGAAATTGGAAAAGCCTGAAGAGGGACCTGCTGTATATTCATTGGTGATGTCTTCAGAGTTCAAGGGAAAAAGTACCGGGCAAGATGTTTATTTATGTGTGGCGCCGGTCAACGTTCGCAATGGTGACAAGACCGCTCAAACATATGCCTTGCTGGATCCGGCATTTACACTTACTTTGTGTAGTGAACATTTGATGAAATATCTCGGAGTTACAGGAAATTCAAGAGATATAACACTACGTACAATTGGACAAAGGCCAATACAATACAAAGGTATATCTGGCAGTTTAGTTGTATCGCCGCTAGATGGTGGTGCTGAACAAGAAATCACAGATATGCTCTCGGTTGAAAAAATCCCTGCTAAGCCAAATAAAGCACCTGACCAAAGGTTCCTCAAACTGATGCCGCATCTTCAAGATGTAAGATTGCCTATCTTGGAAGGAGGAACAGTGAATCTTCTGATTGGTGCTGACAATGCAGAACTCGTCTGTTTCTAAGATGTTCGAAATGGACCTGGGAAAGCACCTAAGGCAGTGAAGACTGTTCTTGGCTGGTCGCTGTTCGGACCCAGTTTTGAGTCGCCATCAGGTATCAGAGAAGTTTATTTTGCATCTGATCATTATGTCCATTTCGTCAAGTGTAATGATTCAGAAACACAGAAGGAAATTGAAACTTTGTGGACAACAGATTTTGGCAATGAAACTTCAGTTCTTAATATTCCGAATTCTCGAGAGGATCGAGCAGCATATGAAATTATGCAAAATTTGGTGAAACATATTGATGACCATTTTCAACTTCCTTTGCCATGGAGAACTGGGATGCAGGATTTACCGGAAAACACAGAGATGGCGAAGAAAAGACTTTGTAGCCTCAAAAATAGACTGATGAGAGATTCCGATTTGCATAAAAGGTATGTCGAAGTTATTCAAGGATATATCAAGGCAGGATATGCCAAAAGAATTCCATATGCTGAAATTGATACGTCTAATACAGTTTGGTATCTTCCTCATTTTCCTGTCATGAACCAGCATAAGCCGGGAAAGGTTCGTGTAGTTTTTGATGCTGCAGCCAAATATGGAAATGTGTCTCTGAATGATTGCTTAATGTCCGGACCAGATTTGGTATCGTCACTCCTGGGTGTAATTTTGAGATTTCGCAGGGGACGAGTTGCATTGGTGGCAGCCAGGTTAGAGTGGCACCTCAGGACACGGATGCACTAAGGTTTTTATGGTGGGATGACGGGGACATCTCAAAGGAACCCGTTCCACATCGTATGCTAGTTCATATATTTGGGGCTGCATCGAGTCCGTCTTGTGCTGCATTTTGTTTGAAACAGACGGCGGTGAAATTTGGAAATGAACACAAACCTAGAATTTCAGAAATTGTTAATGAAGATTTCTATGTCGATGACTGCTTGACAACTGCTGAATCGGTCGATGAAGGCATAGAGATTGTCAAGAAATTGACACGATTGATGTCAAAGGGAGGATTCAACTTGACTAAATGGCTCACCAATAATGATGAATTACTGTCTATGATTCCAGAAGAAAAGAGAGCTGAATGTGTTCAAAATCATGTCATTGATGGCAATGTCAAAGAACGAGTTCTTGGTTTTCAGTGGAATGTGGCAAATGATGAGTTTGGGTTCAAGGTTAATATTACTGACAAACCAAATACCAGGATAGGTATACTTTCAATTGTAGCATCTGTTTTTGACCCACTTGGTATAGCGGCTCCAATAACGCTACTTGCCAAGTTATTGTTGCAAGAACTTTGCAAGCAAAATTTGGGATGGGATCACGAAATTGCAGATGATGATGCTGTTAGATGGCAAAACTGGCTACATCAACTGCAAAGTTTATAACAGGTGAAGATTCAGCGATGCTATCAGCCATTTAATTTTGGAAAAGTTGTTTCCTATGAATTACATCACTTTGCTGATGGATCAGAATTAGCATATGGAGCTGTTTCCTATCTATGGATAATAGATGAAAATGGCCAAAGTTATGTGGCATTTTTGGTTTGAAAGGCAAGACTTGCTCCATGTTCTCGTGTAACTATACCCAGACTTGAATTACCAGCTGCAGTTTTTGCTGTAAAGTTGGATCTTATCCTAAGGAGAGAACTGAAGATGAATGAATGCAGTTCAACTTTCTGGACTGATTCCACACCCGTAATTCAAAGTATAAGAAATTCAAAGAAACGATTCTCCACATTTGTTGCTAATCGTTTAGCAAAAATTGATAGAAATACTGATGTATCACAGTGGCGCCATGTTCCAACAAAGATGAATCCAGCTGATGATGCTTTGCGTGGTCTCAGAGTTGATGCATATTTAAAGTCAGGACGATGGATCAATGGGCCTGAGTTTTTGCGTCTTCCTGCAGACAAGTGGCCAAAGATGCCGGATTGTTTTCCTGATCCACCGTCTGAAATTTGTCCAAAGCCAGTTCCAGAAACAAAGTCGACATTTTTAATAAAGGAAGAGTCTTCTGCTATGGACAGGTTCATAGGATTCTTTTCTACATCCTACCGTTTGAAGAAAGCAACTTGTTGGCTCATACGATTCAAGAAATATTTGTGTTCTCTTAAGAAGTCAATAGACAAGTTTACTGAATTGCCAGCAAGACTGACTGTGCAGGAACTCAGCTATGCTGAAAGAAATATCATTGGATATGTTCATAGACAAAGCTTTCTTGGAGAAATGAAATCGCTCTCGCCGGATGTTGAAACTTAATCCAGTTCTAGAAGAGGGTTTGATGAAAGTAGGAGGACGCTTGGAAAATGCACCAATTATGCATTCATCAAAGCATCCCATCATATTGAGTCATATATCACATCTTACGGATCTAGTCATCAGGGATCATCACAACAAAGTTGGTCATTCGGGTATGGGTCATACATGGACATCATTAAGAGAAAAGTACTAGATAACCAAAGGTGGAGTAGCAGGATGAAGGGTCATCGGAAATTGTGTTTCTTGTCGAAAGCGAAATGCCCGCCCTGGAAAGCAATTTTTGGCAGATCTACCTTCTTGTCGACTGAAATCAGACGAACCAGTGTTCAGTCATGTTGGTGTTGACCTATTTAGACATTTTCTTGTTCGACAGGGAAGAAGTGATGTGAAAAGATGGGGTTGTGTATTCTCGTGTATGACAACTCGTGCTGTTCACATTGAGGTGGTAAATAGTTTGTCTGCTGATTCTTTCATATCTGCACTCCGACGATTTATTGCTTGAAGGGGTCAGTGTACTCATATATATTCGGACAATGCTGGGAATTTTGTATTGGCAGAGAAAATACTTGAAAATTCCTTGAAGATATGGAATGATTCTCAAATTCATGGATGCTTACGTCAAAAGGGGATAACATGGCATAAATCACCGGCTACAGGTTCAAATAATGGAGGTGCATGGGAACGAATGATTCGGTCAATTCGTCGAATTTTCAATGCTGTACTCAGGGTCAAACTATGACAGATTCCTGTAACAGAATCGTGGATGTGGATCCAGACAAGAAGGGACTGATACGAACAGTGCTTGTTAAAATTCGTAATAGCTTGGTAAAGCGTCCCATCACCAAGCTAGTTCTTGTTGTTGAAGGCCCTAAATGACTATTTCTTTATTGCTGACTCGTCTTCATCTTTTCGTTTTCCAACGTCGCAAACGTCTCATTTCATTACTCGCATTTGAAGCGTTTCTTTATTATCTGTAGACCGAGCCGAGAAGGTTTCTGCCTACTGCAATTTGCGTGTTTACATCATTATAGTATCGCCTCGCGTTAGGGCCGATATTGTGAAATGCGGACAGCTAGTTTGCTGTTGCAATACGTTACCTTTATGGGTATTCAGCATTAGGAAAAGCTGTATCATATTAATTCTAATGGGCTAATTATGATTTCCTTTGTTTCCTGCTTATTTAACTTGCTAATAGTTTAAAATTTGCTGTATTGAACTCTGGCTTATTGAACTGCAATTTGTGAATCTGTTCTGCGTTTTGATTGTTTTGTGAAATATTCTTGGTGAGTTTTCTGTCTTTCATTGCATTTGGATTGTTATGTAGTAGTCTTATTTGGATGGAATACTGCTGGTATTATATTTATTCCCACAGTTAATGCTGTAGGGTTAAGTACTGTTACTGTAGTGCTTATTTGTTCATGTTTATTTCAGTGTTCTGCAGTTACATAAAAGATTCGATATATTGTTGACCTTGGCTAAAAACAGTCGGTTAGCGATATAATTTGATTGCATGTTGGTTATTTATGCGGCAAATTCATAGTATTTATAGTGTATTTTGTTTTCTTTAGAAAACCTCTCTCTTAATCTCTATCTCATCTCTATCTGTATTCGTTATCTGTTTCCGTAATCTATTTGGCTCCATCTGACATCTCGATTATATAATTTGTGCTGAGCAAGTGCTTGATATTTCCACAGCACATTACAATTCTCCTGTGTTTGAAGTTGTGTATTGTGGGCTTGTGGACTTCAGCTTGCTTATCTCAGTTATAAGGCAGGGATAATTTGGAGAGGATTGTCTGGACCGAACATAGACTGATATTGCTGTAATGGGATAGGCTACTAGAGCGTTTAGACAGGAAAATATTGGCGCACGGTTCAGCGCCCTCCGTCTTTGTGTAGCAAGCAGGGTGCAAGCAAGGTCACACCCCGTCAAGCTTCTACATTAGGAACGTGTTTTTCTCGAAACCATGCATGACTATTTTATATATCAAAGCTACTCAACAATTTCCACCGAAGGTCCGTTTACAAAACTTCAAAATTACTGCGTCTCGGACATTTCAGAAAACATATTTCACTATGTAAATAAAACCACGTTCCTGAAAGTCAGCCTGAGTGGAAAATTCGTCTGGCCGTTTGATAAAAATCAAATTGTTACGACATCGTTGAAATATTGCCGATTAGGTAATGTTGCTGAATTAGACATCTACATCGATACTCGAGAAACATACTGGCATGATGTCAAAATTCATTCGCCCGTGGTTCAGTGAAGATGTAAAGAGTATAAAAATCATCTAAAACTATAAAACGATGCTTGTCTTACAAACATAAACAAACAGACGAGGTCCAAATTAAATGGTCGAAAGAGTTTCAGATTCGGAACGCGGTCCGCCAGTTCAGTAGCCCTGGTATGTACAGTACAACAGCATATTTACACATAAATTTTATGCGTAAGTACATGTAATAATCTACAATGAAGTTGCTTATTTAATCACAAATAGATATATATAATGAGGAGAACTGCAAATAAAAACTTTGCCCCTTCCCTTGTCCGTATTATAGAATTTCACCTGATTCATTTCTTTGTTGTAGACAACCAGGCTGTCACGAACAATTTCTTCTTGCTTTTGTTGAAGATTTCGCTTAAAAATAAACGTAATAATATTTCACTTAATAAAAAAAGTTTACATAGCTTTGCTTGCACTGACCAGATAAAAAACAATTGGGTTGATACAGCAGACCAATTTTTAATTGGAAGTTTAATTTTGCGAAATTATCTTAAAGTTAAGACATCGACTTATCGAGATTCGTAGGCTCACCCTGTTCTTACCATAAATATTTACTGATGGTAAATTCACACCCACGTACATTTGCATCTGTGAACTGAACACAGCACATTAGCACCTGCATACTTTTGCACCTACCGACATTTGGACGCACTGTTTTGCACCTACCGGCATTTGAGCCCATCGACATTTACACCCACAGATTTTAGCATATAGATTGCACTCGGCACATTTTCACCCACGCACATTTGCACTTATGTAAATGCACATAGGTGCAAATTTCCAATGGTACGAATGTACGAGGAAGCAATTGTTCATAGGTGAACTCTGTACGCGGGTGCCAAAATATGGAGATGCAAATTTATGGGTGTAATTGTATATGGGTGCACTCTGTATGCGGGTGCAAAATTATGGCGGTGCAAATTTATGGGTGCAATTGTACATGGGGGCAAAATTATACAGGCGCGAATGTCCTATTTGCAAGAGTACGTGGGTGCAGAGATAATGAAATTTTATTTACTGTATCTGGAAAGAATTTGCTTTAAAATTACCAAATTAAATATAACTAACTTGTTTGTTTTTGTTTTCTTGCTTGAACGCGTTGAATAAGCCATTCAACTTTCTATTTAGATCTGCTTTAGACTGCAGACAGATTTTTTCTGGTTTTAAACGATTTTTTTCCATAAAATCTTCCATTACAATATCCTTGATTCCCTCATGTTTTTCTTTTAGTACATTTTCTTCCAATGCTGCGGGTGCTTTCAACTCCTGCAAATGAAATAAAATGAATGGAAATACTGAGAGAATTTATTCAATTTATACTTGGCTGAAATACTAATCTTGACTCGCATTTCACCGTGGAATATTATTGAAAAATTAGCTGTTCCAACCTCTCGACTTAGCTATTGTTCGTGTCTTATTTTGACCTTTTCTTGTGTTTGATCAGAGATTAATTTATCATAGTTTTTCATAATTTTTTACCTTATTCATCGAATCTTTATATTGTTGTTTGAATTCATCTATCGTTTTATCCATTTCACGTATAATGGCCTCCTAGCAAACAATGAAAGAAAACAAAAATAAGAAAACAAAAATTGCGCCCTCTTGATTACTGCTACATTGCATGCGGATCTACCAACAAAAAGGCAGATTGAAAGGAGCAGTAAGTAGTTAGTACAAGCTACTTTACTTATATAATTTATATATTTATATACAAATTGGCTTAACCAAACTAAACTACCCCATCCAAACCTTTCGATTTTGATTTTGCTGTCTAACATCTCTCAGAAGTTCAACAAGTCCAATGCACAACTCATTTTTGTGCTGTTCTATAATTTTCTCTGGTCCTTTTTGACTGAGATTTTGAAAACTCTCTAATGCATGCAATTTTGCGGTATCATGAATTGCTTCTATTTCTTGGTCTTCTTTCACATCATTTCTGCATTTCTGTGCAAAAATATTTACGTGAAATAAGAAAACCAAACGCACTCTTATTTATACCACGATGATATATATTGCACCTCTTCAATTTCATTTTTCGCTTGTTTAAGGCAGTTAGTCACCTCTCTTCGACACCAGTCATGGAACTCTTTCTGCAAAAAAATACATAACAATTAAAGCTAGAACAACGCCGAAGTTTTTTTTCCTAGAATGACTGTAAAATATAATAAGATAAAGTGCAGATGAAATTCTTCCACATTTGATGAGATATACCATTTTTGTGACTTAGGCCACACAACACCTTTTCTTAATATTGTAAAATAAAACCAATTAGTGAATGCACTGCATAGGAATAACAATTTATTTACTTATCACCACATTAGTAATTGCATTCTCCTATAAAGTGTCAAGTTTTATTCGAATAAACGAACCTCAAACTCATATATCAAATGTTCAAAATAACATTTAATGCACCTGATTTTCTTTGTTCTGTTTACGAACGATGACGTATTCATCAGCCAAAACAGAATCAAGTTCTTCAATGCATTTTTCGCGAACGTATGGAAGCAACTTCATTTCATTGAGATGTTTCTTAGTAGTTTCAATACATTTAACATTGATTTTATCTAATTCTTTCTCATTCTTTGCACTTTCTCCCATTTCCTGCATTGTGTTATAAATTTGATATTTTATTTACACATACATATATTACTAACGTAAAAGGAATGCAAGAACGGATTTCGTGGGATTTTTTAGTGAAATTGCAGTAACAAAATGTCAAAAAAATACGGCGAGTTATTACTGAAAATAGGTAAGGCTAAAATAAAAAATCTTTTACTATGTTTGAAGATTTGGTCTGGAATTAATACCAATTTTTAAAAATTATGATCTTATTCTTTAGACATTTAGTGAATGCTCCGGAGATAAGATAACCCTAAAAACTCTTTGTGAAAAGGGTAAAAGCAAGCCATAGGTAGTGATAGTATTCCATGACATTGGACTTAAAAATTTCTAATGATAAAACTGCTATATCAAGAATATACGATTCTCATGAACCAGTTAGCAAATTTATTACCTGGTGCATAGCCTCGGAGTAGTATCTACGAAGTGTGCCGAGTTCACGATCAATTATCATACTCAGATACCTCTGCAATAGATTATAAACAATGTTATTTTGTAGCAACATATTGGTAAAATGAGCAATCACGTATATTCATAATTTTTACTACCTAGTTTGTGTTCAAATACCTTAGTTTTCCTTTGTAGTTCAAAGGCAACAGCATGAAGTTTATCGAGTTTGCTTTTTAAAGTGTCATTCAGACTTTTCCTCAATAAATCGGGAGCATCCGGCTGAATATATTTACCAAAATGTAGATCTGCATGGTATATAATTTGATTGACAATATTCTCCAATTCCCTTCTATCTTCAATTACCACATGGTCAAGTTTCTAAATTGTGAAATGAAAAAGAAATATTATGATCAGCGTCAGTTTCACATCGTTGCAAATTTAGTAAACGGGTAGCATTTTAACGTTAGGTTGTAGGGGAAAAATATGTTATGAAGTTTTTGTAGCGCATGATAATATTTATTTTAATAAATCCCTGCTCACTTATATATGGTACTGAACTGTTGAAATTAGGTTAAATTCAATGTAGCAACAAACCTCTTTTAAGATACGCTTGGCCTCTTCCTCAATTTCGGATATTTTTTGAATGCAAGATAATTTCAAAACTTCCTGTATAAATAAATTCGAATCAATGAATCAAAAAATACTTAAGTAGAAAGAAAACTAAATTTACTAAAACATAATGGGACATGGAGAAACTTGAAAAAAATTAATAAAAAATCGAACAAAATGCATTTTATCGATATTCAGACATTGTTTCCAAACTATGTTTTAAAATAACTTCCCGAAAAAACAGTTTAGATAACTGTTATTATAGCCAAGCAATTGACCAATGTAACGGACCAAAATAATTAGCTTGCATGTATTTCTCCTTTTGTAATCTAATTTGGTTCATATTATTAAACATTGACGAATATAGAACGGATCCTATTTGATTTTACTAAACAAAAATTAAAATCCAATGCTTCTGTATATAAATAAAGAATAACATGGATTAAAATAATCTTAAAGGGGGACTGTACATTGAAGTTAGATATTTAGGAAATAAAGCTAAGTTGAGAAAAAATAGTTCAACAAATTCCAAATATGTCTTTTTAACGGTCACAAATAAAAATTTCATTATTTACCCGACGGTTTTTGCAACTTCGGATAGTTTCTTCACACAGCTCGGTAATTCTTTCATTCATTGTAGCAATGTATTCTTCGTCGTATTCAGGAACACCAAAACCTTTTTGTTGAAATCGTTTTGCCACAAAAGATTCGAGATGTTGACATTCCCTGGTAATTTCAGTCGCTTCTGCGTGCTGTCCCACCTTCTATAAAGTTAATTTCAAATTATTCTGCACATATATTTGTATGGTATAAAATAAATTAATTATATATAGAAACAAACACAGACTAAAGTTAACACAACTGCAAATTGGCGTAATTTGAGAATTTATTTTTCATTTATCCGACAAATTAAAATCATGTATTTAGCAACCTGTTCCAAAGATGTTTGCATTTCTTTCATTTCCTTCTTTATAAATTCTTCATATTGGTTTCTGCATTGAATCTGAACAAAAATATAATTTGATTCGTTCTAGCAATATTTTTAGAAATGGGTACGCTAGAGAAATATTAAATTTTTGCCAATTTCAATTTGTCTATTTGTTTTATTAAAATATTACACTTTGCATAATTAAAAAATTCATGGCTGAAAAATTCAAAATAATCAATGATGATGCAAACACCGAGGTCCGGTGTGAAATGCATTTGTCATAATGCATAGTGCCTACGTAATTAACACAGTATTAATGATAATAAGTGAAACTACAGAACATTAAACAGCACATTAATCAATACTGGAGCATTTTCTTTATATTTTTCAAATGTTATAATACAAGTGTACTTTCGAGAGTTATTATTTCCACTAATTTTTTTTTTTGGGGGGTACTAATATTCTATTTTAAAAATGTTAAATGGTCTACTAAAAGTTAATATCATTTTGCATTGGACTCTTGATTATGTTGCTGTACTTATGTGATTAATAAGACAAATAGATGTTTTCGACTTTAACTATATTACTAATAGCTGCCAAATATTTAGTAGGTAAAGAAGTAAAATTACATCGCAGATGATTATTACTCGTTTTGTAATTTTATTTACAGGTTTTGATGATAAAAATAATTTTTTGATGTTCAAAATTATCTCAATACCTATAAGAACCTTTTTTGTGAGTATTTACTCATATTATGCTAGTCTGAAAATCTTCCTTAATGTTAGCTAGCGTTTATAAATAGAAAAGGCGATTGCTATGTCAACAACGTACGTTGACATCTAGTATAAAACAAATATTTTTAAGTTTTCCGCAAGATGAAGAACAAGATGCGATGCAGAGACCACGATTAATGCAACCTTTTTTCAGTTATTTGGAACAGAAGTGTCAGTTTTTAATTGTGTTTGACAAAAACTAAACCCTAAATCGATTGAGACAAGAATAAAATACTGGAAATAGTTACTTTTTTCGTGTTATTACGATCAGCCATTTGGTCCATATCATGTTGTAGTTGCTCCACAAGATTCATTTCACAACACTTTCTGGCTTCGGCACCTCCATAAAACGGTTTTTTCTCAAATTCAATCTTTGCTTTCTCAAACGCATCGTTTGCAATTTGACAGAAAAGTTCTTCGTCGACAAATGTCCTTTCTCCAAGTGACTGAATATTGAAAACGAACAATTTAGCTGTACAGATGCAAATTAGAAATAATTACCTGTTCTCGAACATACTTTAATACTGCTAATTCTTGAACTTTGAGAAATATATATGAATTAAATAATTCATGGCTGAAAAATTCAATATAATTAATGATGATGCAAACACCGAGGTCCGGTGTGTAATGCATTTGGATTTGGGAGAAGATGAACGTGTTCTCATTAATGTATAAGAATTTAGTCAGTTTTTGAATGTCAAACATGTATTACCTCCACAATTTTTTTTTTCAAATGTCTCCTCATTTCTTCAATAAGGTTAGCTAAAAACGCTTCTGTTTGAGCCTGTAACAAAAGTATCCAATTGTCATAAGTATTAATGATGTGACATAGTAAAAGTGTATTACCCATAAGAATATGCTGTTTGGAATACAGAATTGAATTGTTGTATTAATCAAATCATGAATAAATGCATGTAACGTTCAAAACTATGTTTGGTTAAAATGTAACAAAAATGAAAACGAACCTGCAAAAAATCTTTAGGTGTTGGCAACTCGTCGCCTTCCAATATTTTTGCAAACTGCACTGCTATTTCCGTCAATTCTGATCCTTTTACAGGTTCATCATTATATTGCTTTATTACAATTTTTATCGGGTCGAACAGAAAGTGAACAAGTTTGTCCACGTATTCTAGGAATTCTGGTTCAATATCTGTAAAATTTCATTTGAGATTTGCATGTTATTACGCCTATATAATAGTATTGGTGGAATACCGTTCTATGCATCCCATCTAGATAATATCAAAAAAGTCAATTCACTCCCGAGTGCAAGTTGCACAATCTTTGTAATGTTTTGTAGTCCTATATAATATTCTTATATAATCCTTCATAATCTTCCATATAAAATTTTCTTTTCAGCGCATTTAAAATGACCATGTTTGAAATGCAAATTATATATACCATTTTTCCTACCTTGCAAAGATCCACTGAATTTCATTGCAGAACTCTCAGCCACACTTTTCCCAGGATACGGTAAGAGAAATGAGGTGACTTTATGAAACAAATCTTTAAATGATGAACGCTTGACATTGTTATGTGTTCTTCCTTTCATCTGGGTCTCAACGTAAACCTCTCCTGCCTCTGAGCCATAGGGGAACTCGTCGGCATCAGCCCAATCACGAACGAGAAAAGTCAAGGACTGTGATAAAAATAATTGCCACAGAAGCATGTCATGGTGGGCATTGAAGAGCACTAGTTATTGCAAGAAAAGTAGCCAGAGGGAGGAGAATTAGCCGTTAATTTATGATTGATATCACTATCAAAATACATAGAATCTCCTACCAGACGAAATTATTGGTAGAAATGTGACCGGAGTTTTTTGAAAAATTTTTCTGAAACATCATTTAATTAGGGAAAGCATATTATCAGCAACCCGCATAAAAACGAAGCAATAGGGAAGCGACCTGGAGGTTCGCCTAATAATAAAATCAGCATGCGATAAATATATTGATACTTGCTTGGAAAATGCTATCGTCTTGAAGTTTTCTCGCCATCTTAGCATGTTCAAGGAACGTCTATCAATATCAAAAGTAATAATCATAATAAACCCTATGTGCATATATTTAGAATATATTCTGTAAATAAGTTAGGAAAACGGTTGAAAGTAATCCTACGATAAAATTAGTGTCTTATGGCAAACTAACTGAAAAGAAAGTACTTTTGGTTTATTTTATGAATACGTTGACACAGATTATGTTTGTTGTTTCCCTCTAAGTTGTCAATGAAACAATTTATGAAATTTTATGGTTTGCCTACGACTTAATTTTTATACAACATCACTGAAAATAAATCAAACAATTTGGCAATCGGTAACGGGTTGTGCAATAAAAATGCTGATTACATCGTATACACTATACACAAGTTCATTGGAAAATTTATCAGAACTCAAGATAAATTATGTAGGCTATGTAAGAGAGTCTTGGTAAGTAGTGCCAAATTCACAATACATAAACATTACCTCAAAAAATTGAAGTTTGTCTGTTCGTAAACATTTGTTGACGTTATAAATAAGGTGAGAGCTGATTGCGAGGCTCATCGTAATTATTTTAGAGCTTTGAGCAATGTCGTTTTTATTATCAAATGCTCCCTGCGTGTCCATTAAGAGTATTGCTACCTGAAAAGTTTTGATAGGGTTGGTAGCGTGATATAACAAATACAGAAAAATTATGCATACATAAACAAATCAATATACATAAACAGAGATTTGAGTGATGCACATGCAAAAGTCAATGTCAAATATGCATATACAGCAAATGTCATTTCATGTACAGCCAATGTCATGTGCATATACAGCCAACTCATACACATGTAGAGCTAATCAAAAAGCATAAACATCAAATGGCATATCATGCACAATCAATGTCATATGCATATACAATAAAATCATGAGCATATAGTTTAGAGATCAAAAATACATATACGGTCATCTACTTTGCATATACAGCTAACCAAATATGCATACACAGCTAATGCCATATTCATATAAATTCATATTTTATGTGTATACACATATGACATTGAGTTTTCTATGTACACACTTGAATGTATATTCAGTTGACCTATATAATATAACAATGTATTTTGTGTATACAGTACATCATTTAAATTGCTGTATATTTATATATGCACATGGTACTTGCTTTGTATATACATTATTTCAATGGCTGTATATTATATTGATTTGATATTGATCTGCATATCCGTATAACATTGGCCGCATGTACATTTGGCATTGGTTGTATTTGCATATTTGGTTTGCTCTATATGTACATGATTTGGCTGTATATGCATGTAATATTGGCAGTATAAGCATAGGACATTGACATTCCGTTATAAATAAAAATTCAAAGAGAAGAAGAAGAGACATAAAAAATAATATATATATATATGTAGAGAAAGGCCCATAGAAAGTCTGCTTTCAAGTACGATCATTTGATAAGCCATAAGCGTCAGTATTTTAGAATGTTATTCACAACACAAACAGTGTGATTTAATAAAGAGAAATAGGAGTAATGTGCATTAACCTTATTTTTTCCATAAAGATTTGCAAAATATGGCTTGCTCCACATCAGTATACCCATAGTATTTGACTTTGTTCCCCCGCGCCATGAAAAACCTGCAAGTGTGTTGTTCTCATCCCCGTCCAACCAACTAGACGACTGCAGAGTAATATAAGAGAAATCACATTTTTAAATATTTATTTACAAAGTGATGAGTATGTTAGGTCGTTCTGTTACTGTTCGAATCAAATATGTTGTTGGATGATTATTTTAAAATTTTTCTATCGAGTTATTGTAGCATAAGCCAGTGAGCAATCAATAATGACAATAAACAATTCCATATCGTTAACTTTGAATTACATTATGGCCGGCACAGTAAACAGATCAAAGTTCACTGATACCTTACTTGCAAATTGTATTTCTTTGTAGAGCCATGCAGCATTACTTTGATTGATGCATAGTACAACTTAATCTTTAATACAAAAAGCACGCTCATCAAACTTCAGAAAGGTGATTTTCGTATTATTTTGATTAATCATAAAATGGTTTACAAAAACGAAAAAATGCAAATTGTCATAAAGAAAACCAGATCTCTTTCGAATACGTTATTAATTTTTATTTATTTAAAACAAATATGATACATACCATCCCAGACTCAAGATATTTGATGAATAGATTTAGTATGAAAGATTTTCCTTCACGCATTGCTCCGGCGACAGTTAGCACCATGACTTTTCCATCTTTTACTCCTTTTTGATTGAGTATCCTAAGTACATTATCTTTTAGAAATATCTGCTTGCCGTTCTCGTCTTTGACGTATATTGGTATTGCTTCACCTTCATCTATTAATAACAAAAATTGTTTTTAGAGGCGCTAGATAGCGATCTAGATTTAAATGTGTGATATTTAATGGTGCCGTTCTATCGGCAAATAATAACGCAAACCTCATTATTGGATTTTTGTTTATATTTGTTGCAATGAGTTAAACATGACATAATTGCATTATTGGCATAAATTGGTTGTCCAACTTCAAGCACAATAAATATTGTTGTACTGGTAGGGGTCAGTGTGGTCTAAATAGCACGTGCATTGTCTATATTTCGCCGACTTCAATGAGACAGACTTTGGTATATTGGAATATTCCAATCAAAAACATAATGTTCAAAAGCGTGACTGAAATTGAATATTCAACAAAATAAAAGGCCTGGGATAATATATTGGAATAATTTGTTTTTGGTGATACTATTGAAGGTAAACTGTATTGGTCCAAATTCATTGAACGCAATGATGCGCGCATATAAGGCGTTGAAAGGGCGTAAGATGCAGCCGGAGTTGCCCGAAATTCAAGGCCCTCGCAGTCGCCAATATATTTTGATCTTTGCCGAGAGAAGTTTACATAAAAACGAGAGAGTTTTACAGTGAGAGTTGGGTAAAGTTATGTAATATCCCTCACGGTTCAAGGTTGTATGTCCCTATGGCCTACACTATTGTCCATTGACCTCAACTATCACGCTGCCAGTAATTTATATTTTCAACAATGGATGACTTGATTGGCCGCTAAGCCGCAAGTGAGCAGTAGAGATGCGTTTATTTATCGTCGGTAATTTGACTTATTTGAGAGCTTTTGAATGCGTAAAATTAATCGGGCGCAGAAAATGAGAGCATTAAAGATTTAGAAGTTATCCATTTTTTCAACTTGAAGGTTATAACTCACTAGATCCCCACTCTTCCAGGATTTTGTTTTTAACGATAGCGGATGACATCGGCCGATAAGTAGTGAGTGAGCGGCACAGATGAATTTATTTGTCGTCGGATTATGTAAAGTGCTCGACTACATTAAATCAATCGACTTATCGAATAAGAGGTTCCTTCATTTTTCTTTAGAGAACTTTATAAGTAATCGCATATAGAGTGTAAAACAAATAAACTGACTCTTTTACAAAATCTATAAAGTATAATTTAGACGTAAACTCATTGAGTGAAACCCCTAGTTTACTCATTACGTCACCTTTTTGTACACTTTATGTGATGTGCTATATATTATTGAGTTTTTATAGACTATATAGTTTCTATCGATTTTAAATTTTAAAATATGATCCTGCCCATCATGTGCGCGAATTCGCGATGTTTTGCTGTGTCATAATGTCAGGAATTTTTGTTATGATCTTGCGTGGAAGCAAATTTAACTTCCTATGCAGCAATATAATTATGAATTTCATATGACATTTGGAAGTATTAAAATATCACTTACATATAGAAACTTATACACCTCGCTGTTATAATGGAACGTCGCACAACTAGAAGAATAATTCAATCAATCTGAGCGATGGGTGGTAACCAAAAATCGATAAGTCCAATTAAGGTTTTTGAAAGTTCATTTTATTTGCTACTCAACAATGAAAGAGTGAGCCTTTTACGACATCAGGAAGTTACAACAAAGTGAGTGTTTCGAGCGCATTCGGCATTTTGGTGCCGTTACTGAATAAAAAATATATAAGCGTTTTATCATCTCAATATTTTAATGAGTACTTGCTCCAAGATTATAGCTCTCTTCATGATTCATAATACATGTTCAGATTATGATTTCTAAAAGTTTTCATACGATAACTTAGGGATCGACGAAACAAGAATAGACAAGCTTGATTTGGAGCGCTGACTTATTGAAGAGAAAGATATTCATTGTGGGCGATTCGCTATCTCTTTTTACACAAGTATGATATCGACTGAAAAGTAAAACCAATAAATATTGAGTGAACTCTAAAGTCTTTTTTAAGATGTAGAAGAGAATAACGCAGCCAACAGCTGAAAAATGCAAAAATAGAATTTTTTTCTATATTTCGACGTTTCGAAAGGCCTTCAACAAAACTTTGAGTTAACGGTAATAATTGATATATTGGGCAAATCTCCGCGTTATAAAATGGATAAAAATGGTCATGTAAAATTTGCCAGATTATTGGCTGAAAAAGTATGCATTCAAGTCATTGAAACAGTTTTGTAGGTAATAATATTTTTTGATTGCACTATTAAGAAAAAATCTACTTATATACAGATAATAGGTAAAACGCATACCTTCATAAAATTCGTCTTTTTCCATACAAGTCGCCATATTCTTTGATACTTCGTTGATTTAAAAGTAAGCTAGTTATGCCAATCTATTTGAAAAAGTGAAAAAATTAAAAAACTCTTTTACACTGCCTCAAAATGTTGTTATTAAATCAGAGAATAAAATAGATTCCAACACTCCTGTGTCAATACTTGATTGTCTAACAAGCCACGTATAATATCATTCAAACAATTCAAGACATTTAGATAATATTACGCGTTTAAATAGTACGCAAATGAACTCGAGAGGCGTAAGGACATTTATTTTATAGAACGGATAAAGAAAAAATGGCGTGCACACAAAAAACAAGACGACGCACCATATTAGGCGTTGTGTTGGCCGCTTGGTCGATGCCGAAGAAGCTAAACGAACACTGAATGAAAGAAAAGGCATAGATTACAATGCAAACAAATCCAACATCCTCATGTTCCTAACTAATGATGTTGAGTAATTCAGTGTAAGATTATGTATTGGCGTTTTTAACACTTCTTGTTTGATCTAGGACATTGTGTCATGTTGCAGCCAAGTGATTTTGGAGTATCATTTTAAACAACGTTTTTGTTTTATTAATTAAACGCCTAAAGAGTTCAGCTTATATGAAATTACTATACTTTGCTATTGTATCTTGTCAATATTGCAGTCAAGGACAGAGGCACGCAAACAACAATGGCCAGCGTGGAAGGTAGGCATTAGTTTTTACATTTATTTTTAATTGCCATGCCGACATATTTGAAGCAGTGCTTTGTAACATTATCGATTTTATCACGAATTCAATTTTCTAATCGTACATATACCGAATAGTACATAGTTATGATGAATATATTATATTAATGGATGATTGGGATGCAATAAAAAAACAGAAATATAATTTGGTACTTCAATTCACGTTCAAACTGAATCATATTAAAAATGCTTCATTGTCACCGGATTTGAAAAAAGCGGTACCAGGTGCCCCGACAAGTTACCGGATATGATTTTCGGAGATATGATGGTGAAATATTTCGTTTGCATTTCGTGTCCATATTTTTAAACATAGCTCTCCTGTACTTTATTGAATTGGTATTACTAAATTTGATTGGACTGTTTTATCAAACCCAAATTATATGATATGGTCCTAGTTAGCGGTCGTAGTATGTGTGAGTAGAATTTATTTCGTTACTCAAAGTTATTATCCAATTTGACGAATTCGTTAAAAATTTTAAAGTTTATGCCTGTCTGCGCAAACAAGTTGGTTACACGTATACATATATATATATATATATATATATATATCAATAAAATTGCTTTGTTGAAACAAGATAAAGGTCGTTGGCGTTTGTTTACAGTTCCTGTAACTCAGGGGTCGGCAACCCCCGGCACGTGTGCCACTTGTTGCACGCCAGAGGATTTCTCATGGCACGTCAAGTGATTTGAGGAAGATTCAGATATTTATTTTAGTAGTTCGACAAACATTCTACATTTGAAAAAAAATAACAATTTGACAAATTCATTGAAAAAACATGCGATATTCAACTGCAATCGACGAGAAGCCAAAATCTGTACGCGAAATCAGTGTAAATAAGCGTGTGGGGTGCGGTTTGCCACATTTTGCTACTTTCGGAAAAGCGATGGATCAGAGACCGAAATCTGTACGCGAAATCAGTGTAATTGAGCGTGTGCGGTGCAGGGTTGACAGATTTGGCTACCTTCGGAAACACTTCGCTATTGAAACTACTCGTTCAACTACTTTCGACTTTTTATACTTGTGTTGGGTTACCTTTTGCCCTCTAAAAATCGTGATATATTGAATATTATTTTATCAATTCATACTTGGGCAATTCGTACAACTTTTCGCTAAAATCGCCCATTGTTTTTGGCAGTGGGACGTGTTATTCAGGCCGTAAACACTTTTAAGTTGGTGTTGATTCTCCCCGAATTACAAAATTTTTTCATGTCAACGATAATAATTGCTTTCTTTTTGTACTCGCCCAGAATTGTGAATTCGCTGAGAGTTATTATACAATAATCGGCGGCGAGTTGCTTAAGTCAAATAAAAGAGTGAAACTGCGACGCAAATTTTTTTATGGAAAAGCAGCAATATAAAATACGATATATGAAACCGCAAACAATTTGTTGTAGGAGACCCGCGACAGATTAAAAACGCTTCTCTAGGCATTGTGAATCGGACAATTTCGTCTGCCTAAGGTACACATAAGTTTGGGCGGCGTTGACAATCATAATGTCACTAGAATCAAATTCGCACAGTTAGTTGTGTGCGGGTTTTGCCTTCTTATCTATTTCTTTAAATTGCCGTCATAAATTTCTATGTTAATATTATACGATTCATATTACAAGATTGGAAACGCGACTTTTTCCTGAGTCATGGTGATATATAATATAATTAATTAAAGTATATTCAACCAATTTTTACTGTACCAAAATAAATTTTACTCCGTGAGATTTTATAGCAGACTTGGGATTTTTCCAACGGTTTCATCTTGAAAATATTCTGAGTGGCAGCATTGCAATAGAGCGGAGTCATGGTTGCAAGTACAGCTCAAATTTGTCGAATTTGCAAAACGGCAAAAATATGGATCAAAACTAGATATAACCGGGAAGTTTACCACACATTTTTTGGTCCGCGGATTGCCGTGGTATTTTAGGGTAGTGGAGCATTTATTTTGTCGACGCAACGGCAGGTTAAATTTAGGACAAGTAAATTAGAATAAAGCAAGACAATTTAAATATGGCCGTATCAGTCATGGATTGATTACTTTGCACAACGGAAAAATCCCTCCGCGGGGATTACGAGGCGATAAATATGTATTTTCGATTTACTGATTAATACTTTATATGTGTTTATTTGTACTATGTGGGATTTTTATTACATATCTTGAGATTTTTCTAACGGCGACAACGAATTCGTAAAATCACAAAAAAAGTTTTGAAACTAAATACAATTAGGCATGTTTATCTCATATTTTTACGTCAACAGATTGAACGGTATTTTAGACTAGTAATGTTTATATTTTGACGAAATAATACGCAACTGCGAGTTACGTTGGACACAATTATATCAATATATATAGAAGAAAGTTTTGTAGATTCTCGTACCTGTCGTGAATTGAATATTTCACGCTTGTACGAATTTATAAGCCTCAAAATGTTGAGGCAGGGTATAAAAAAAGTTTGTAAGTATAATATCTTGAATTTAACTTTTTAGTAAAAGTTCTTGTCTTGTTATTATACGTACAAAATTTAACTTTGCTTAGCAACTGATCAGCTCAGGTAAACAACATCGGTGTTAATTAATCAAACTTAATGTTAGCCAAACACAATGTTAGTTGCATGTTTATATTAGAAATATTAAATCAGAGAATAAAATAGATTCCAACACCCCTGTGTCAATACTTGATTGTCTATCAATCCACATATAATATCATTCAAACAATTCAAGACATTTAGATAATATTACGCGTTTAAATAGTAAGCAAATGAACTGGAGAGGCGTATCGGACATTAATTTTATAGAACAGATGAAGAAAAAATGGCGTGTACACAAAAAACAAGACGACGCACCATATTAGGCGTTGTGTTGGCCGCTTGGTCGATGCCGAAGAAGCTAAAAACACTGAATCAGAGAAAAGGCATAGATTACAATGCAAACAAATCCATCATCCTCATGTTCTCACTAATGATGTTGAGTAATTCAGTGTACGATTATGTATTGGCATTTTTAACACTTCTTGTTTGATCTAGGACATTGTGTCATGTTGCAGCCAAGTGTTTTTGAAGTATCATTTTAAACAACGTTTTTGTTTTATTAATTAAACGCCTAAAGAGTTCAGCTTATATGAAATTACTATACTTTGCTATTGTATCTTGTCAATATTGCAGTCAAGGACAGAGGCACGCAAACAACAATGGCCAGCGTGGAAGGTAGGCATTAGTTTTTACATTTATTTTTATTTGCCATGCCGACATATTTGAAGCAGTGCTTTGTAACATTATCGATTTTATCACGAATTCAATTTTCTAATCGTACATATACCGAATAGTACATAGTTATGATGAATATATTATATTATTGGATTATTAGGATGCAATAAAAAAACAGAAATATAATTTGGTACTTCAATTCACGTTCAAACTGAATCATATGAAAAATGTTTCATCGTCACCGAATTTGAAAAAAGCGGTACCAGGTGCCCCGACAAGTTACCGGATATGATTTTCGGAGATATGATGGTGAAATATTTCGTTTGCATTTCGTGTCCATATTTTTAAACATAGCTCTCCTGTAATTTATTGAATTGGTATTACTAAGTTTGATTGGACTGTTTTATCAAACCCAAATTATATGATATGGTCCTAGTTATCGGTCGTAGTATGTGTGGGTAGAATTTATTTCGTTACTCAAAGTTATTATCCAATTTGACGAATTCGTTAATAATTTCAAAGGTTACGCCTGTCTGCGCAAACAAGTTGGTTACACTTATACATATATATATATATATATCCATAAAATTGATTTATTGAAACAAGATAAAGGTCGTTGGCGTTTGTTTACAGTTCTTGTAACTTTTCCTTGAACAAATTGAAACACAAGTGCAATGAATATAAGCTGAAATAATCAATTATTAACAAAAGAGCAATTGTGTCACGCATTCAAGTATTCAACAAATGATTTTGATTGATCGTGATAAGACCAAATATTAGTTTTATACAGTTCCTGTAACTCTTCCTTGAACAAATTGAAACAAAATAAAGGTCGTTGGCGTATGTTTGTGAAATTTGAGTTCTGATAAAACATCAGGACAAACAAACACAAAAGAATTTGCTGATTAAATTCAAATTCACAGAAAATGACGGTAACGATCATTACGTTATTACAGACACGGTGTTCTCTGAATAACAATACAAAAGTCAATATGCCCTCAGATGAACCTGCAACGTTTTAGCAATCTGAGAATGACGTTTTAAATTTTCAAAACCTTCAATACTCACGTAACTCACTAGATTAAAATTGGTAATCCCCATAAAAACCCGACTAGAATTCAGGCAGTGTTGAATAAAATTATCTAAAGGCAGAGTCCAAGTCAAGTCGTCACTGTCCATCTTAGTCATAAGTCAAGTCAAAAGTTTGCATTCACGTGTGCATCATGACTCCTCACCTGTCATTCTAGTTCCCAATAAATACTATTCACAGACGAAAATTTTATCCCGTGTGTACCCTACACTTAAGAACCCAAAAACATTGTATATGCAATGATGTCAATTACTGATTATTGGAATAGCAGTAATACAAGAAATTTGTAATATTGGTATTGGTATATATCGAATCGGCATCGGCAAATAAGTGGAGTTGGTAGATCCATGAGTTGGACCGGCACACATGTAGTCCGGCAGAATCGTGGCCGAAGCTCGTTTTAAGACATAAAGTTTTTTTTTCTTTTTTAGATATAATGTCAATGACATAAATAATGATACCCAAGTGGGTGTGGAGTATATAATTTTGAGCAATTTTTTCTAAGTGGATTTTAAGGCGCTCCGGGAGTATTCGTACCAAGATGACGAACATCCTGAAGCGTAAACTTGTACATATACAAAGTTCAGGTTGTACGTCATCTTGGTACGAATACTTCGGGAGCACGTTTTTGTTAAAAACAAATATTTTAAAACTACATAGATTAGTTTTGAATACATAGTAACAATGAATCTCCATACAATATCAGAAATTCAATTTTAGTACAATAAATGGTTGTTTTTTCACTAATATAGGCCAAGATTCATCGACAGCATCTAGCCACTTTCTTTTGCACGTTTCAAACTACATTTGTGTTTCTGCGAGCATTTCGTTTTCCCGCTTAAAGTTTTGGGACTCGGAAATATTTTATTAGTTGAAATGGATTGGAATATTTGACTTCATCTGCAATAAAAACAGCAGTACCCACTCAAATGACAGCTGGGGGATACTCATATTATCTGCTCCATCCCGTGGCGTTTCAATATGAGACCTGCCTCTTACCAGTTTACATGAGTGCCAATTGGTATCTAGCTTGATATCTAGCTCAGCCAGAGACTAAAAGTTTCGGACTGCGGTTGGCGTGACGAAATGTTTTTAAATATATATTCTACAATAAAAATATTTAATTGCATCTTACTGAAAGTTACGTTGTATATGTTTTTCCCATTGTACTATTCCTTTACTGATATTCGATAATATGATGCTCATCTGACATAGTTTTTCATGTGTGTAGAAATGTAAAGTTTTTTTCACGCAGTTCAGATGGGAATGCGCGAATATATCTGAGAATCGCTAATATTGGTTTGTAATGCGTTGAAATTCCATTATGGCATTTCTGCCTCTCCTAATTGCTACGTATATTTATCGGAGAAGTTCTGTGGTGTGGTTATCAAATGAAGAAAACATGGGAGTATTTTTTCTACTTCTCTACTACTCTCAAACCTTGACATTTTGTGAAAACTTTTTTTCATTCAATCTTTTTTTGAAACTTTCCCAGCAACCACAATTGATTCTGTCATTAAACTTCCGAAACAAGCACTTAAAATCATCAACAGATGCATATCACCAAGTTTTAATTAGATATTGCTGAATTAAACTTTATTTTATCATTTTACATGTAATGCTTTTTGGTGAACCTGTTATATATCGTAAATACAGCACATTTGACTATGTTGTAGTGTGACTATTTGGCCACACCTTTTTGATATTTGTAGTTAGATCTCTTGGAGCTCTGCCGAACAAAGTTACTTACAAAATATTGGTTGTAAGTTGCAAAACATGATCATGTTGTTGGAATAACTTGGCATTTTACCACCCGTGTATCATTCATTGTCGAGAATATTGATGAAATCATAAAATCTAAAACCCGTTTTCGTGAATTTTTTGTTGTTGCTGAATTTGAGGGACAGCATGACAACAGGCAAGAGAAGCACGGTCGCCCCTTTTAGTTTATGACAGGGTTTCTTAAAGGGGGACTCCGGCCTCCTTGGAGGCCACGGATCGGTTATCTGGGAGTACGAACAAACAGATGGAAATGCGAATATATAAAATCTATTTTTTTTTATAGAAGAGAAGAAGCAAAAGTGTTGAAGGTCTTTGGTAATTTGAAAAGAATTGACAGGGAATATAAACATGAACTACATTCTTTCCCAAGGATAGACTATAAAATGTAGCAATTTTATCATTCGTGTTCTCGTGATAGCATTATCTTTCACTGCATCGTCGTGATCATCCCGCTGCATAATAATCCTCGCTAACAAATAGTTGACTGTTCTCCATCGGGTGTATATTTGTGCACAAACTGTGCACAATCCACTTCTTGAACCACTGCCGACTGCGTTAGCAGGCTTGTATTGTTAATTGCAACAATAGCGGGTATTTTTAAATGGTACTCTTTATTTTATGCGTATGTTTCAACTGTGTTTCCCTAAGGGTCGCGACCCAAAGCTGGGTTGTGTGAAAATATTTTTGGTACCCTTTTTTCAACAAATATATATTTATATTATATATTTTTCATTACGGCATTATCATGTGTAGTATATCGCACTCCAACGGATTTTTGTCAGCGTTTTATTTCTGTCAAGCATTTTATTCCTAAGTCAAGTATAATTGTTAGAATTTGAATCGAGTCTTTTTGCTCGAATGACTCGAATCAATAAAAAATGTGAGTCTTCTCAACACTGCCTATAGGCTATAATTTTATTGTATTTTATTGAACAACCATTGTATGCCTGAACCTATTCTTTTTTTCAGCAGCAGAAATGATCTTTTAATTTTAACCAACCAGATAAAATACAATCAATCAAATCAGATCAAAACATAATATAAAATTTTGTGATTGTAAAAATACAACGTACCAAATGCCTAACTTGCAGCCTCAATTTCGAAGCAGTCCCGCTCCGACCATTTTCGCTACTACATAATTATTGATAGTAATTAAAACATATCGATTTTTTAAATGTGATAATTTAAAATCTGCAAATAATGTAAATATGATCAGGTTTTTCAACCGATATATAAAAATTTTGACATGTTATATTAGCCAAAATTGATCAAGTTGTCGAGGTGGATTAGAACAATTAGAGACCTATTAATAAAAATTTTAAACGCTAACATATATTTTAGGTAGTGACTTTTAAATTAAAAATTGTTGACAATTGTTCCTGATAATCGCAACTTATATAATCGTGTTAAAAATATGTATTGCAGGTGAAGCAGTTCCAATCTACATTAAACAAAACGATGACGAAGTACATCGGATTGTAAAAGATAATATTTTAAAAATACTCTCTCAGGATGGAGTGGATGATTGCAAAATTATGATACTGTCTGTGACTGGAGCTATGCGTGAAGGGAAATCGTTTATTCTAAATATGTTTATCAGATTTCTTGAATCAGGACGAGTAAGCCCTATAAGTCAATTTTTGTCTAAAAATATGATTCGCCCGTGTTCCGCATGTAGTACATCAACTGTAGTAGGATAACATTTAATTCATGTTACGACTTCGTATTCTATCTGTGGATTCATGTACCCTTTTTATATCATAAATCACACATTTACAAACTACTTGAACTAATTTACCAATTGTACGAAGGTTCCACATGCAAACCATGTTTCACTTTACTATTTTGCATTACATAAACGAGTTCATCGGTACATACCATTGGAATACTATGGACCTTTCCCCGACCTTTGACCCCCGAAAAATTCTTCCTATACTTTACCATTGCAAAATGTTCGGGGCTATTTTAAGAGTGGTTTTGCGAGTTGGCGCCTGTAAAACGGGGTATGTGTTTCAAACCATCATTATGATTCATCGCATACAACAATCTGTTTTTTAAAAGTATCGTTAAATAATTTGAGCCTAGTCTATCACAGCTATTTCTACACTAATTTTTATTACTGCAATTAAATTAAAACTCCTAGGAAGACCGGGTGGCAATTGAATTATCTGATTTACGTTTAAGTTTCCAAAATACAACTGAAAACTAACGAATAGAGTTCAAAAATGCGAAAACGAGGTAATGTTTACGACCGCGCTTGAAAATCAGTCTGAGTGAGAAAAGTGTCTGAGCCGATGCGAAAAGGGAGCATTGTTACGTCACTTTTTATAATTTGCTGATTGGCCAATGTCACGAAGTAAACAAGGAAGTCGATGCTCGGGGAAAGGTCCATTGAACGCCGAATTGTATACGTTGAATGGTATAACACTTAAATAGCACTTAAAAATACACACACACACACACATAACGTTCCATCGACTTTTCTTGAACTTTATCTGAGATTTTGCAATATCTTTCTCATCTTGATAACTTGTGTCAATTTATAATTTAGTCTGACAATTGGATGAATAGTAATGAAACCAACCTAACTGGATTTTCTTGGCGAGGCGGTACAAAATCTAATACAATGGGGATATTAATGTGGAGCAAACCATATTTTTCAACTCTGCTGGACGGAACAAAGGTAAATCTGAATAGAATTGTGTGTAAAACAATCTTTCTATAAAAAGAGCATGAAGTATATCACGTTATTCAATACTTTATTAGAAAATTTTTCGTTTCGCCTAGTGGTGGCGCATAGCCGTATAGAAGACGCGCGTATTTTTAACTTTAATCATCAAAAGTTGTAAAATACATATATATTATTCAGAATTGATGGGTCCAACAAAACAATCAATGAAGTGAGTTATTGTCAAAAATTCCAAAAGCAAATGATATGAATTAATACTGGATTATCCTATTATTTCTCATTATCAAAATTGAAATAGTAATTTTATTTTAACTGAGACCACTACATCACAGAGCAACTGAAATGATGTTTCGACTAGTGCTTACTCCAAAACACGTTATTGGATTGTGTCAAAAATTATATGTTTGATATCATTCCAAATATCAAAATATTAATTGAAAGAAGAGTAAAGACGTCGTTAGCAAACAAGTTCATTTGATGAATTCGATCTATTTGTATAGGTTGCAATCTTTCTCATTGACACTCAAGGAGCATTTGATAATGAAAATGATCTCACTCAAAGTTCAAAGATTATAACAATGAGTCTTGCAATAAGTTCACATATGATTTACAACGTAAACAAATGTTTGCGAAGCGATAAATTAGAATTTTTCGAGGTGAGATAATATAGTTCATTGTTGACGCCATAAATATACATATATAATAAGTAACTACCCATGATTTGATCAGATTTACTTTATATATACTTTTTAGATCTCGCATTGTATAAATTTGGAGAATACCCAAAGGTTGCTTTGAATATTTGTATTAAAACCTAATGTAGGCTTAGACTATAATAAAAGGATTAATATTAGCTTGATAATTTCCCCAACCTAAGAAATTTTAGTTATCATCAAAAGTTTATTCAAAATAGACTGTTCGTGCAAATGATGCATGTTGTTGTTCAGATAAACTAATATATATCAGGCTCAATTGCCAACCTTTCATGGCCTTTTTTGTACAGTCAAATTCTTTCCGAACATTTTATTATTCATTCAAAAATCAATTTCGAACCCAATATACGTTTTACTTGAAGAACATAGCATGCGAACTAGTATATGATGTCTTTATTAGATCAATTTTGTATGAAACTAAATGTTAGTAAAATTAATTTAGATGTTCGTAGAACATGCTAGAATGGCTGAAGGTCTTCACGGCGAAAGTTTTTTTCAGGTAACATATTGTTTAACTTATTTTTGATAAGATCACATTTAAATAAACTATGGCTAATACAAAGACGAAAATCAGCGCATCTTTTTATCAGACGTTGTTGTTTCTAATTCGTGATTGGCCAGATCGTGATGAACATAGCTGCGGTGCCAAAGGCGGAGAAAATTATGTTAATGAACAACTGAGTAGAGGGTCACAAGATAACGTTAGAAAGGAAAACTTCAAAAAAATGTTTGAACAAGTTGGGGGATTTCTATTACCTCACCCTGGAAAAAAAGTTGCGCAAAGCAAACAAGAACAATTTAATGGCGCCTTTGAGGGTGAGTATAATGACATAGATTTGAGACCTTGCAGGGCTATCTTGGCAAAAAGCGTTTTGGAGATTTACATTGCTAATTACAATTTTACATCACACAATATTTGCCATCAGATAAACAAATAACATTGCAATTAAAAATTAAATTTTCTGTTCTCATTACTATTTTCTTGGATATTACTGGAACATATGGACGAGGTATTATTACGGAATAATCAAAATACGAAATAGGTAATACTTTTAAATCTCGTTCTAGACTGTCATATGACTAGAAATGCTTTCAATTTGCCCAAAAGGTCGATTTATCACATTAGCTTTTACATTTTTTCGTGCATTCAAGACAGCATTCTTTGTTTTATTTTAGCCTGCTTTTTTTCTAATTATCCTTGAGTTATATGTTTGTTTATTTTCAGACATAAGTTCAGATTTCAGACAACATTTGGACGAGTTGGTACATTTTTTATTCGATCCAGATAAAATATCATTAAAAAAATTTAATGACAAACCAATTCATGGACGAGAATTAGCAGAGTTTGCGTTGCAATTTTCGAAAATGTTGGAAAGTGATAATCTGCCAACCCCCAAAGACTTTGTAGAGGTATGGAATAAATCAACCAATAGCAACTTGATGGATACAAATGTTTTCGTATTTGCACTAGTTTGTCTATTATTTGATAATTTATCGTTGTAAAAAAGGAAACACCTACCCGTAAGCTTGCACATATTTCCTATATAATAATAAATATTTCCATATATCGTTTTATTTGGGAAATACAAATTTTAAATTTAACGAAATAAAATTATTTGTACCGTTGACACTTATTAAATTTATTTTTACAGTTGTTAAATAATCATTTTTTTTATACAATAGGCACAGATTGAGGCTGCTAAAAATAATCTGGCCATCGAGTTTAGAAACAAATTCAAAAGCAAAATGAAGCAGGTAATGGATACTTGTTTTTGAAGTTAGTGTAGCCAATTTTATTGAATTTTACTTGATTTAAATTATCAGTCTTGACTTTTGACTAAGATAAGTATAAATATGCCAATAAAAAATATGCCAGTTTACAGTTTTACTTGGCTACAATGACTTGTTTAACTTGATCTAATGTTTAGAATATGGGCGAGAGCCCATTTCTAAAGAACACTGAATTTGCACAAATGGCCAAAAGTGCAGAAAACGAAATAATCGCAGAGCTGGAAGGCAGGGCTTTTTACGGTGGTGATGAATCGAAAAAAGAGGCTATGGAATCGGTGAAACTGCACATCAAGAACGACATTGGAGAACTTTCTGATCGGAATCTAGCAATAGAAGTATACCTAATTAATTCTATTGTTTAGTTCTTATTCCACCGAAAAAACTAGTTATTTGTTTGCCAGTTTTTAAGGATTCATCGTTGACGATCGCTCTGGCAATCTAAGCCTGGCTTCTTTTTTGAGCACCTCCGCCTGGCAAACGCAGTTTTTCTTTTTGTGCACGTTCGCCTTTGCAATGTCAACTGATTGTACCGCTTGATCGATTTTGGTGAAGTTGTAGTAAACGATAGAGTGACTTCCAAATCACACCAAATTTGTTATTGCCTGTTTTCTAGTTCATCCATCTTTGTATCATAAAAAATTAATGTTTTCAGGCCGAGTGTAGAATAGATTATGACAAATATATAGACGAAAAGAAAAAGGAGCTTTCGGATATTTTGCGGAAGGTAAATTTTGAGTAGATTTGTATTTGTTAGTTGTAATACATCACGTTGACAAAGAATATTTTTTCTATACCACAGAAATTCTCACACTATGTCGAAGAAATTAAAATAAAAGATTCATGTAAAGAATACGAATCAGTTATTCTTGGAAAACATTTTGATGGCATTAAACGTAGAGTTGAAGATTTTGAAGCAGAGTACACTTCGAAAATCATAAACATGATAAAACAATTATGTGATGATGTCGTTTTACAAAACACAAACAATCTGGTAAGGCGACCAAATTTTTAGATTTTTCAAGGCTTAAATTATGCCATGAATATATTTATCACTTAGTGACTTAATGGGATCAACACTTGCTGACACTATAACTCTGGCTTGTAGTCGTGCAATTCATATGTTTTAAACATATATACTTTAGCCAACTGTTAAAAACCCAAAAGGCATTGGGTACATCGATCCTCAAGATGTCCTCAGAAACACTGAGAAAATTTGTATCATGTATAATGAAATTTATATAGTCGATTTTCTCAAAATTCTGTGCAGCTGGTGTGTCTTCATGTCAGTTATAGAGATGAAAACTGATTTATAAACCTTCAGGTTCTTATCTGTATATGATTGCCTTTTATTACCCGTAGAACTAAAACTATAATACCAAGTATTTATTCTTTAAATTTGTCTGTATTGAAATATTGCGAAATCATCAAGTATGTGGTTTTTATAACAGAAAGTGATGCAACAATCTCTGGATCTTCAAATAAACGATATCTACAAAGAGGCAAAAGTAAAGTTATCTGAAGTGGGTTGGTAAAATATATATGGAAAAACATTTAGTAAATAAATACGTAAATAAATAGAAAAAGTTACGAATTACAGTATAAATATTCTGATATGATTTGTTAACTTATAAGAGATAAATGAATTCGCTTATAGCTATTGGAAAATTAATAATAATATTTTATAGATTCTGCAGCAACAAAATATTAAAGATTCATCTCAAGCTGATTTAATTTTGAAACAAATAGTGGATGACACAACTGAGGAATCGGTGTTAGCAGACATTCCAAAAACAATATTTAATGATTGGAAAATAAAGTTACGTACAAAATTGGAAACACTTTGTGATTTGGCATCAACAATCATCACTCGAAATAAAGTAACTTGCGATATTAGTTCAATTCTGTTTTAATAATATAATATACTTTTCAAATTAATCAGTTTCAATTTTAGGAAAACGATGAAATGCAAATTTCCGAAAAACTTGAAGAATTGGGGAAATACTTCATAACACAAGCCGTAAAGGTAATTTTGAATTCACCTATAATTTTTTTGCAATAACTGATAGCAAAAAATATTTTTGTTCAGCTAACAAACAAAAAAGTGAAAAGTAAGCCTCAGCTGGAAAAAATTCGCCAAAATTCTGCTGAAAAGGCAAAGAAAATTCTCTCGGATATGAATTTGGGAGGATATATAAAGAATCAATGTCTAGAACGATTGGGTGCGATTTTAGAAAACAAATTCAAAATCATCTTGGAAGAGAATCAACAAAAAGAAGTAATTTTTTTTCTCTTGCTAAAATGGCCAATTACCTGCAGTATTTATTCATTTATATATATATATAATTCAGTGAATTGCGTTATTGTTTTATTGCTTGGGCATTCTTCATAGTTTAAGTTGTATTACCACAGATTTATTATGTAAAGAGTATAAATATATATCTTATTTTTAATATGCTTGATGGTAAAATTATTCGTTCAATGTGATTGATTTTTTTTTTCTTAAAAAAAAATTAAAAAGGTTCTATTACATTACAGAAAGATTTCCATGAACTTTGCAGTATGGAATTGGGAACATGTTACAATTGGGCACAAAATGAAATAAAAGATGTGAGGTTTTGACGGATATTGATTTTTTGTATTATTTGAACGCATCAATTATAAACAACATGTTACTATCACGTATTTTACTCATACAAATTGTAAGTCCTGTATTTTTTACTATTTCAGAAATGTGGAAATGATGTCAAAAACGATATAGATATTAAGGCAATTCACAAAAAAATTAGACTGGAAGCTTTGGATAAATTCACAAAGGCTGTATCCGACGGACCCATGGATCTTTATCGTAGTTCGAGAGAAAATTTGAAAACCAAGTTGAACATATTACTTTCCGAAACGATTGAAGAACATGAAAGCAGAAAGGTTTCTGCGTGCATGTATATAAATATATATATATATGGTCGTAAAATGTACGAAATTTGTAAATTGGGTTCACTTTTCAGAAAAGAATACTTGAGGAACTTTCAAACTTTACTAAAGAGAGAAGACAGCAATATACAGATAAGATGAAGAAGGTGAGGCAATTGTTCCACAAGAAAACTATTCATACTTTGTTCATAAATTGTTTAAATTAATAATTGCTAAGTTTGGCATTTTGAATATTAATTCGATTTTGTGATAAACATATAATATATACCACAGTCTCTGGATCAGCCCGACCCGGTGGAATTGGAAGATCTCAAAAAGCTTCACATGAAATGCAAATCTGATACGTTAAAAGAATATGCTGAAAATTCAAAAGGAATGCCAGATATATTAATTTCCGAGAAGAAAAAAGATTTGAATAGGATGCTGGAAGGAGAATTTGCAAAGTTACAAAAAAGTAACATGGATATATTGGTTAGTTTTTACAATAGTTTCCTTGAGCAAGATGGCCATAAAATCCGTAACTTACCTCACCAAAACTGGTTATAAATTCACAATTTTATCTTTACTAGTGCATATTATACAAATATATGGTATATGCAGTAATAACATAGGATTTTACATGAGGTTAGGTTTTATGGTCTATTTATAACACATTACGTATAATTAATTACAATCCATGCTGCATTTTTCTTAATATGATATCAACTTTCCATCTAACGATCAATCAAATCGTTTTGACTGAATTTGAAAGATATTTTGTACTAATTCTGCATTGTATGACTAAGCTATAAATATGTTTTTGTTTTTCATTTTGTAAAAATTATATTATTGTTTAGAAAATGCAGAAAGGAAAAGAAGCTGATTGCATACAAGAATGTATTAAAATTTACAATCAAGAAATGGAAAAGGTTTGTTGTTACGAATTGATCCTCGAAACTGTTATATTGCGTACGGTGTACAGACTTTTTTTTATCTACTAACGCGTCAAACATAGTTTATATCCAGTCACAAGCTCTTTTATTCAAATGTGATAAAAATTGTGAAGAGCAAAAAAATAAACATGTAGAATATATATTGTAAAATTTGTTACATAGATCTTTCAGATGAATGCAAATTGCGTATTTCTCTTTAGGCCTGCAAAGATTTAATGGATGATTTATATATAGAAGAAAGTCACAATGAATCCCAACGGAAATCATTTGATCGTATGCAACATATATCAGCGCAATTCACGAGCCAAATGCATAACAGAGTAAACGCAGAATTACAAAAAATGATTCGAGAAAAAAAGGAGCACCACCGGAAAATTGCGAATAGTAATAAAGTAATAACTGAGAATATTATAACAGATCAACAATCACTTTATTGTATTTTGTATTTCAAATCTAATGTATCGTATTTTCAGAATAAAGCCCGCAAGAAATCCGCCTCGATTTTAAACGAAGTAAAATTGGAGTTCCAACGATCCCTTGAAACGGTAGGTATTGAAGTTTGGGATTTACGCGCAAGGTTCAGAATAAATTTAAAATTTTTATCAAAGCAATATTTTTATTTAAAATTTGAGTATCCAAAATTAAATTTAGTACAATAATTTTTTATTTAGTACAAGGTTTTTGAAAATCGAGAAACAAACAAATTTTTATATGAAAACATGCGGCTTGTAAGTGCCCGTTTTGACAAAGGTAGTTAAATAATGCACGGGGTGCTATGTATAGTATTGGTGAAACAGTGGAACTAGTCTTACCACGAAGTTGACTCATTAAATACTTTTAATTTTCTGTTTTCGTGTATGGATTAGGTAAAATTCATAACATAAAAGATCAAAAAAGTTTATTCAAGAATTTAGTCGAAAATAACTATTTGTGATAACCGCGGATTTTTAACCCAAAATTAGTTTTAATTCAAATTTAAATCTACGAATGTATGATTTTAAATTAAATTGATATAAACATTTTAATGCTTAATAAAAGCTTAATTAAAAATCTTTACATTTTATGTGTCAGAAAACTGGGGGGAACGCGTGTACAGAAAAAAACTTGAGAAAATATTTTTCTGAGGCTGAGAAAATATCCGAGGAAAATTTGAAGCGAATGAATATTAGTCAAATCGAGCGGCAATTTTGCCAACAAAATCTACAAGATACTTTTGACAAATGGAAAGAGGAATTTCGTGACCAGAATAAAAGTGCCGAGGTGACTTTTTATAGCATTAATATTGAAATCGAGAAGAAAAGAAATCGATTGAAAAAAATATATATCCAGTCGACATAAATAAATAAATTAATAGGAGTCGACAAAATCTAAAACGTGTGACAATTTTCGAGATGTTATGGTATTTTCTATTGTTTGAGCTGCATTTAATTTTTTTAGATCAATCATAATATTTCTAATGAGGCATATCGTGTAAAAATAGAAACAAAGAAAAATTAGCACAGGCTCATATAAATTGATGTAACACTTTTTACAGGCAGAGTTGCACAGGAGTTGTAAAATATCCTTGGATAAAGCCAAAAGAATCTACAGACAGCATATTAAAAATGTAAGTTTTAGTTTTCGGTTGTTGGAATTCTCAAAAGTACGGTCACGTAGTAATATTATAGAAAATGTCACATTGGGTAAGATGCTTTTTGTTTACTGCAGGTCAAGAAAGATCAAGACAATGATGACTTGAATCCGCATCATTACCGTGCTAATGACGAAGCAATGTCTTCATTTGATTTGGATCTTTTGAGGGGAAACGAGGAAATCGTTAGAAAATATAAAATTGACCTGGAAGAATGGATCAAAACAGAATGGAGCTTCTTCCTCAATCATGTACGTAGCTAACTCAAAATTTCAACATCAGCGGGACAAACGATTTATGAAGAATTTCCAGTGCTTGTCTAATTTTACGTCTTTTTTAAAATGGTTAAAAATCACCTAATTTAGTGATGATTTGTAAAAAAAAATATCACAAACACCAATGATAGTAGAAATAATATGTCGTATGATTGTATGTGAAAAATTTCAAAAATATAACAACATGTCTTTCTTTGGTTTTCTAGGGGGAACTGCAGGTCGTTCAAGAACGTGAAGAATCTGTCAGAGAGACAAGTCAGTGCAATTGCTGTAATGCTGTAGAAGCAATATTGAAGCACGTTGAACAAATAAAATCAGACATTGAAATTGTTAAACAGCAACAAGCGAATCTAAAAGACGAATTATCTGAGCTTTCGACAAAAATTGGAAAATGACGAAAATATTTATTTAGATAATGATAATTCATTGAACACGATCTCTGAATATGAGAAACAGCTGACAAATTTTTGTTGCATATATAATCAAGGAATCACCATAAAAACGTACGTTTGCTATGGCAGTAGATATACTAAAGCAGATAGAAGGGATTTATTCAAGCTACTGCAGATAAATCATCAACTCCAAGGCCCAAGCAATTTGTACCTGCTGTTGATAAACTTATGTCACACACTGTAAAAAAAATTGTAAATTTACAGCCATCTCTTCGTAAAAAATACGCGAGTTTGTGTCGGTATATAGTCGGTATAGCTCATAATTTATACGCGCTGACAAACTAATGTCGATATTGTAAAACTGTTAATAAACTTATGCCTTAGCCAACATATATATAGTCGGCATAGCCCACAATCTCTACGAGCTATAGCTGACAAACTAATGTATCGTAAAACTGTAATTGCCATTGTGTACGACTTGCACCCTGTTAAGCATTTGCATTCTGGCCATCATCAATCTGTTTGCAGTATATGTGTTATGTTTTCTAATGACACCTCGTGTACCAAGTTTAATATTTTCACTACGTGCCTTATCACATTTGTGTCATGCACAAGGAAAACATTCATCTCTTGTATTTCTGTCTTTGTATATATGGAGCACTTGGCTATAACATGGTACGAATGCCCTAATAAGGTAGCTCAAAGATTACCCAACTCAATACTGATAGTTTATGTTATTGGCCTACATGTGTTTAAACTCGCTTTTATTGGAAGCATATACAGGTGATGTTTTTGTTTAAAAGTGTATTGGCGACTTATTAACATGGGATTTTGAATAACATGCTAATTAGCCCGCTACGAGAGATTCGAGTAATTTTGTTAACTCAGGAGTATATCAATACCAAAATAAAAATTGGACACTTTAAACCAGCAGTTCATAACATGGGGTAAATTTACCCCTGGGGATAAATTTCGTCATTCTTAGCGGTGAATTTCGTTATTGTGGAAAACGATTAAGACTTAACAAAAACCGCATCTATTTGCTTGTTTTGTTGCGAGAAACATTCTATTATTGGTAGTCCAAGTTGCGAGAAATAGGTAGCTTATTATGGGATAGACATATGTGTATCAGCCTATTTTTGCCTGACAATATCGCGACTCGTGCAGAAGGCGATTTTCGGCAACGGTTATCGAGAACGCCGGCGGATTCTGCAAATTCAGCGTTGGAGTGAAGGATGTTAGCTCGACAGTGATTCATACCGGAAAAATTAACGAAGTTCTAATTAAACAAGCTTCATAAAAATTGATAAATTTCAAATTGGGAAAATACACACATGGCGGGATTTGATAGGTGTCATTAGAAGACCTAGGTAAAGCTAGCGGCCACTTCCAGCGGACAGTTACCAATTTTTCCAAATTTGAACCCGCCATGTTCCACGACAGTTGTCGCGAATTCACTTAATTGCGCCCACATGGATGCAAAAAATTAGGCGATTCTCCCTTTTAGAAACTGACGACAGACCTGAAACATAATAAAAAACAAAAATGATTGAAACAACACATTTTTTCCTCGATAAAATGAATTATTGCTCAGAAACTCATTTATCGACAAAATCTAAAATTTAAGTGAGTTGCAGCGTAATTTATGCAAGAAATAATTTTTTCTCATCCAATTCATTAATACAGTGAATTTGATGAAGATATATAAAACATATATTAAATTTTAAAACAATTCCACTATGCGGAGAGTTGGGAAATACCCCCCAATTAAAGGAAAATTTTTAAGAAATTGTCAATATAACTCAGTAAAAGCGTAATTTATGCAGGAAATAATATTTTCTCATCCAATTCATTAATACAGTGTATTTGGTGGACAAATATAAAATACATATTGAAATTTAAAAAAAATCCACCCTGCGGAAAGTAGAAAAATACCCACCAGTTTAAGAAAAAAATATAGAAAATCTCCAATTTAACTCAGTTAAAGCGTAATTTAGGTAAGAAGGAATTTTTTCTCATCCAATTCATTAATGCAATGCGTTTGGTGGACAAATATAAAATAGATATCAAAATTTAAAAAAATCCACCGTGCGGAAAGTAGGGAAATTCCCCTCAATTCAATGAAAATATTTAAGAAATCGTCTATCCAACTCAGTTAAAGCATAATTTATGCAAGAAAGAATATTTTCTCATCCAATTCAATAATACAATGTATTTGGTGGACAAATATAAAATACATATTAAAAGTTAAAAAAATCCACCATGCGGAAAGTAGGGAAATTCGGTACTCTCGAAATATGGACACAAAGATGACGCACAACCTGAATGTATAAGGTGTACCAGGATAGGTTCAGATTTAGAATCTAGATTGAACGCTTTTGGGAGCGCAGGGAATAACCCATTTATGCAAAAAATAATTTTTTCTCATCCAATTTATTAATACAGTGTATTTGATGGATATATATAAAATATATATTAAAATTTAAAAAAAATCCACCGTGCGGAAAGTAGGGAAATTTCCCTCAATTGAAGAAAAAAATATAAGAAATCGTTGATTTGACTCAGTTAAAGCGTAATTTAGGTAAGAAGGAGTTTTTTCTCATCCAATTCATTAATGCAGTGTTTTTGTTGGACAAATATAAAAACATATTAAAATTTAAAAAAAATCCACCGTGCGGAAAGTAGGGAAATTCCCCCAATTGGAGAAAAAAATATAGGAAATCGTCAATTTAACTCAGTTAAAGCATAATTTATGCAAGAAAGAATATTTTCTCATCCAATTCATTAATACGGTATATTTGGTGGACAGATATAAAATACATATTAAAATTAAAAAAAAATCCACCGTGCGGAAAGTAGGGAAATTCCCCCCAATTTAATGGAAATATTTAGGAAATCGTCTATCCAACTCAGTTAAAAAATAATTTAGGCAAGAAAGAATATTTTCTCATCCAATTCATTGATACAGTGTATTTGATGGACGAATATAAAATACATATTAAAATTTGAAAAAAATCCACCGTGCGGAAAGTAGGGAATTCCCCCAATTTGATGAAAATATTGAGGAAATCGTCTATCCAACTCAGTTAAAAAATAATTTATGCAAGAAAGAATATTTTCTCATCCAATTCATTAATACAGTGTATTTGGTGGACGAATATAAAATACATATTGAAATTTAAAAAAAAATCCACCGTGCGGAAAGTAGGGAAATTCCCCCCAATTTGATGAAAATATTTGAGAAATCGTCTATCCAACTCAGTTAAAAAATAATTTATGCCAAGAAAGAATATTTTCTCATCCAATTCATTAATACGGTGTATTTGGTGGATGAATATAAAATACATATTGAAATTTAAAAAAATCCACCGTGCGGAAAGTAGGGAAATTCCCCCAATTGATGAAAATATTTGAGAAATCGTCTATCCAACTCAGTTAAAAAATAATTTATGCAAGAAAGAATATTTTCTCATCCAATTCATTAATACAGTGTATTTGGTGGACGAATATAAAATACATATTGAAATTTAAAAAAAATCCACCTTGCGGAAAGTAGGGAAATTCCCCTCAATTTAATGAAAATATTTAAGAAATTGTTTATCCAACTCAGTTAAAAAATAATTTATGCAAGAAAGAATATTTTCTCATCCAATTCATTAATACAGTGTATTTGGTGGACAAATATAAAATACATATTAAAATTTAAAAAAAATCCACCGTGCGGAAAGTAGGGAAATTCCCCCCAATTGAAGAAAAAATATAAGAAATCGTCAATTTAACTCAATTAAAGCGTAATTTAGGTAAGAAGGAATTTTTTTCTCATCCAATTCATTAATGCAGTGTGTTTGGTGGACAAATATGAAATACATATTAAAATTTAAAAAAAATCCACTGTGCGGAAAGTAGGGAATTCCCCCTCAATTAAAAAATATATATAAGAAATCGTCAATTTGACTCAGTTAAAGCGTAATTTAGGTAAGAAGGAATTTTTTCTAATCCAATTCATTAATGCAGTGTGTTTGGTGGACAAATATAAAATACATATTAAAAGTTAAAAAAAATCCACCATGCGGAAAGTAGGGAAATTCGGTACTCTCCAAATATGGACACAAAGATGACGCACAACCTGAATATAAAAGGTGTACCAGGATAGGTTCAGATTTAGAATCTAGATTGTACGCTTTTGGGAGCGCAGGGAATAACCCATTTATGCAAGAAATAATTTTTTCTCATCCAATTTATTAATACAGTGTATTTGATGGATATATATAAAATATATATTGAAATTTAAAAAAAATCCACCGTGCGGAAAGTAGGGAAATTCCCCTCAATTGAAGAAAAAAATATAAGAAATCGTCGATTTGACTCAGTTAAAGCGTAATTTAGGTAAGAAGGAGTTTTTTCTCATCCAATTCATTTTTGCAGTGTTTTTGTTGGACAAATATAAAATACATATTAAAATTTAAAAAAAAATCCACCGTGCGGAAAGTAGGAAAATTCCCCCCAATTGAAGAAAAAAATATAAGAAATCGTCAATTTAACTCAGTTAAAGCATAATTTATGCAAGAAAGAATATTTTCTCATCCAATTCATTGATACAATGTATTTGGTGGACAGATATAAAATACATATTAAAATTTAAAAAAAATCCACCGTGCGGAAAGTAGGGAAATTCCCCTCAATTTAAAGAAAATATTTAAGAAATCGTCCATCCAATTCAGTCAAAGCATAATTTATGCAAGAAAGAATATTTTCTCATCCAATTCATTAATACAGTGTATTTGGTGGACGAATATAAAATACATATTAAAATTTAAAAAAAATCCACTGTGCGGAAAGTAGGGAAATTCCCCCCAATTTGATGAAAATATTTGAGAAATCGTCTATTTAACTCAGTTAAAGCGTAATTTATCCAAGAAATAATATTTTCTCATCCAGTTCATTAATACAGTGTATTTGATGGTGATATATAAAACGAATATTAAATTTTAAAAATATTCCACCGTGCGGAAAGTTGGGAAATTCCCCT